TGTTTTTGAGTTGTTGTATTTGTTTACTTAAATGTGTTAATTTGTATTGATGCACTTAGAAGATTTGTAGGTGTAGAAGTGATGTAGTGTTAATATTGGCAACCATTTATAATCATGAACTATTAAAATAATTTGATATTATTTTGTATCTAAATTTTTTAATCCCTCGGTATATTGCGGATTGATTTTCTAAAACTAAAACCTTAAATTTTAAGTTATATTTGTTTTGTTAATATTGTTTGGTTTGTTTAGTGTCTATGATAATATCATTATATATTTATTTTTAATTCTAGGATTTCATCCGTGCTACATCGTCCCGTATTAATATCGACCCAAACTCGTCCCATCATATAACCCCGTCCCATAAAATAAAACAGCATTTTGTTATTTTCTTTTTAATAATAGTTTTATTTAAAAGACATATAATTCGAGTCAATTTAAAACTTTGCTTTAAATGGTTGACATAATATATAGAGAAATTGTTAAAAATGCCCCTTTTTCAATACCCCTTTTCAAAAATGCCCCATTTGAGAGTCCATTTTTAAGTTTGCCCTCTTTTAATTTTTAAAGACCATTTTACCCTTATTTGAAACAAAATTAGGTCCACAAAATACAAAATATTTTTTGGCGGGAAAAGTGATCCCGCAATTTTCCCGCCAAAACACTTGTAAAAAACCTTTAAAATACCTTGTAAAATTTTCCCGTAAAATTTTTTCCCGCCAAAAAATTTTCCCGCCAAAAAAAAATTTTTGCGGGAAAAGTGATTCCGCAATTTTTTTTTTTGGAGGGAAAAATTTTGGCGGGAAAAATTTACAAGGTATTTTAAAGGTTTTACAGAGTATTTACAAGTGTTTTGTAAGGTTTTACAATGTATTTTAAAAGGTTTTACAAGGTACTTATAAGGTTTTATAAGGTATTTATAACTTGTAAAACCTTATAAAAAACTTGTAAAACCTTATAACTTGTAAAAACCTTATAAAATAGCTTGTAAAATCTTATAATATCTTATAAATACCTTGTAAATACGTTGTAAAACCTTTTAAAATACATTGTAAAACCTTATAAATACCTTGTAAAAAACCTTTAAAATACCTTGTAAATTTTTGGCGGGAAAAATTTTCCCGCCAAAAATTTAACGCCAAAAAAATTGCGGAATCACTTTTCCCGCAAAAAAAATTTTTTGGCGGGAAAAAATTTTACGGGAAAATTTTACAAGGTTTTTTAAAGGTTTTTTACAAGTTTTTACAAGTGTTTTGGCGGGAAAAATTGCGGGATCACTTTTCCCGCCAAAAAATATTTTGTATTTTGTGGACCTAATTTTGTTATATTTCCTTATATATTTGTGATATCTTTTATTAAAAGAAGGGTAATTTAGTCATTTTGTACATAAAAAGGGGTATTTTTAAAAATGGACAGCCAAAGGGGGCATTTTTGAAAAGGGGTATTAAAAAAGGGGCATTTTTGTGAGTCTCCCTAATATATATCTATATATATATATATTTTTAATTGTTATAGAGTTCAAATATTATAAACTTTTTATAGAACTTAAATATTATAAATACTCTAAACATTTTTTAAAGTTTAAATATTTATAATGTTTAAACTTCTTATAAATTCTTATAAAGTTCAAATATTCATATTTGAAACTTTATAAAAGTTTTAGTTATATAAATATTTAAAACGTCTGATAAAGTTAAATTTTACAAACGTTTAAATCACTATAATATTTAAGTTTTAATAAAATTTAAATATAAATAATATTTTGAAACTTTTTAAAAGTTTCAATAAAATAAGGAACCAGAGTAAACTGGATAACAATTTTAATTTTGGATGCCTGATCGATTGAGTAATATATGTCCGTTTTTAAAATTTTGAATCACATTATATGCAGAACAATATATTATTTTATTAATTATATTTATTTTGCATAAATTCAAAATAAATTAAATATAAGATCATATAAAAGTGAAAGAAGAATCATATATTAATGTTTAAATTAGGTAGAGAGGTTTTAGGAAATTAGCAATTAATCAAATTTAGAAACAAAATCAATTTGTTACCATATTTAGAAGCCACAATTTCTAAAAAATTGTTTCGAAAATAATTTGTAATATTATTTAGAGAAATTGTTAAAAATGCCCCTTTTTCAATACCCCTTTTCAAAAATGCCCCATTTGAGAATTCATTTTTAAGTTTGCCCTCTTTTAATTTTTAATGACCATTTTACCCTTATTTGAAACAAAATTAGGTCCACAAAATACAAAATATTTTTTGGCGGGAAAAGTGATCCCGCAATTTTCCCGCCAAAACACTTGTAAAAACCTTTAAAATACCTTGTAAAATTTTCCCGCCAAAAATTTTTTTTTGCGGGAAAAGTGATTCCGCAATTTTTTTGGCGGGAAAATTTTTGGCGGGAAAAATTTACAAGGTATTTTAATGGTTTTACAGAGTATTTACAAGTGTTTTGTAAGGTTTTACAATGTATTTTAAAAGGTTTTACAAGATACTTATAAAGTTTTATAAGGTATTTATAACTTGTAAAACCTTATAAAAACTTGTAAAACCTTATAACTTGTAAAACCTTATAAAATAGCTTGTAAAATCTTATAATATCTTATAAATACCTTATAAATACGTTGTAAAACCTTTTAAAATACATTGTAAAACCTTATAAATACCCTGTAAAAAACCTTTAAAATACCTTGTAAATTTTTCCCGCCAAAAATTTAACGCCAAAAAAATTGCGGAATCACTTTTCCCGCAAAAACTTTTTGGCGGGAAAAAATTTTACGGGAAAATTTTACAAGGTATTTTAAAGGTTTTACAAGTGTTTTGGCGGGAAAAATTGCGGGATCACTTTTCCCGCCAAAAAATATTTTGTATTTTGTGGACCTAATTTTGTTATATTTCCTTATATATTTGTGATATCTTTTATTAAAAAAAGGTAATTTAGTCATTTTGTACATAAAAAGGGGTATTTTTAAAAATAGACAGCCAAAAGGGGCATTTTTGAAAAGGGGTATTGAAAAAGGGGCATTTTTGTGAGTCTCCCTATTATTTAATAGATAAACATTTATAAAAATGTCATTCTCTTGTAAATAAGTGCCAACTCAAAAATTTATTTCATATTTGTACTTCGAAAATGTATATATAGATTCAAATTGAAATGGAACAATAAAAGATGTACGTATACATTTTTATAAGATCATTTGCCATTCTATTTTCTTAAAAAGATTTTACTTAAAAACTTAAAATTCATTCTCAAAATTCATCAATGTTCTATAACGCATATAGCAAACTAAATCAAGTATTCTTTTAATGTTGTCTTTTTCTACATTTTACCTTATTTCCCACAAATTTATATTAAACAATTAACAACAAATTATCCTATAATAGTTTATTTTAAAATATTATTTCATATTAAATTTAACTATAAATCATTACATAAATGAATACTATTCGAGAAGCAAAATGTAATAAAATTATTAAAATGACATTGTAAATTGAGGAATTGTTAGAAATGCTTTTTTCCAATCCTCTTTTCAGAAATACAACCTACGTAAAACCTTTTTAAAATTTCCTTAAAAATCTAAGATTTACCTAAGTACGTATGTAACATTATAAAAGCATACAAAACTACATTTATATGTATAAATACATGATTAAAACTTATAAATACCTTATAAAATCTTATACATATCTTATAAAATCTTATAAATATGTTATATAAATACGTTATAAAACCTTATAAATACTTAGATCGAGGCTTGAGTAATATTTACCATCCAGAAGTACCTCATAAACCTTTTCAGGTTTAATGAGACGTATTTTTGAAAATACACAAAAGAAGGGGACATTTTTTAAAAATGGCACACCAAAAAGTGCATTTTCAATAATAAAATATAATAATAAGGTCTTGTAAATTATTTATTATAAAGTGAAGGGATAATATGAAATAAATAATATAGCATCTTATCTATTTCTAAACTATTTTAATTTTTCTTATAACTTTGAATGATGAAAAAAAAAACAAAGACAAAATATAGGATTTTTTTTTAGCATTTAAAGACAAAGAAAAAGGACCACATGTCGTGAAAAAGAAGTTAAAAACTTCATGACGAGCTCATTTTTAAATTAGAATTAATGGCCAAACCATTATCTACACTTTTGTTATAGAAAAAAAAAAGGAGAAGATGATGATAGAGTTGAAGGATAAAATCTAATATTTGAGATTATGATCACTGATTTTTTCGTTGGAAGATGGGTATTTTTTTTTTTCCAAAAAACGTCTATTTTTATTCTTTGTTGACCTTTTTCTTTCAGAAAAAGTTTTATTACATACTAATTTTTACATTCAAAATAAATTACATAATGTATATGCCAATACTTTCTATTTTAGCCACTCTATATGTACTTTACCTTTTTTTTATAACAAAATTCTTCAACTGATAACAAAAGGAATAACTAGAGTGTTAAACAAATTAATGTATAATTATTTGGAAGGACATCAAGACCTATTATTGTATAATTTATTTTGCAATTACATTTTTAATCAGTATCCCACGCATCGCGTGGGTTTCTCTCTAGTATTCTATATAGAAAGAATACACTTATTTTTTCCTTCTCCTACACAGTTACAACTTCATTTTCAGCTTTGTTGCTTTCAAAAATAAAGTTACAACCGACGTCTAGTTTTGTCATACTAAAATATACAATAATCTAGCTTAATTTTTCATTAGAAAAAGTGTTGCACTTAATTGTTCTTGATTTGTTGTATAAACTTTTAAAATTTTTTTGGCTCAACTATTTAGAAATCAGTCTTTCACTTTGTTAATATGTCTAACGCAAAAAAGTGACATGTTACTTACATATGTCTATATTCAAAGTCAGAATCTAACTTTACTTTGCATTTAATAATTTTTCAAAAAATAAAAAATATCATTAAAGTTACTTTCCTTTGCTAACAGAGGATAAATACAGTTTCTCTTGTCCTAATTTATCAGAAACTAAACTAAAACAGAAGACCTCATGGCTCTGCAAGTGAAGCTTCCATGGGAGTTGGAGGAAGACATACTCTCTCGTCTTCCACCTCAATCTCTTGTTCGATTCAGAACCGTGTCTAAACAATGGAACTCTGTTTTCAACGACAAGACTTTCATCAACAATCATTTGTCTCGCTCCCGTCACCAGTTCATCCTCTTGACAACTTCCAAGATTTATTCCATAGACATCATCGATCACATCAACATCGATCCAACTATAAGGTTGCATGAGATACCCACCTATGATATTCGTAGCCGGGGTACAGATTTGAATCGCACAATTCTACGTACTTGCGATGAGTTCTTGTTTTATAACTATAAGCATTGGGATAACAAGACAGCTCTCTGGAGTCCATGGTTGAGACAGGTTAGATGGATCGAGTACAAGAATCAAGAGTTCTGTGTTTTCGGCTTAGGGTACGATAATAGTAGACCCCAAAAGGTATACAAGATCTTGGGCCATATGTTTTGTCACGGTAAAGTCTTGAGAGATCAGAAAGTTGCGATCTACGAGTGTGCGTCTGACTCGTTGAGGCTTATTGATAGACCTGAGGATGACGACTGGCCCATAACTGAAGCAGCTAAACGATCAAATGTGTCCTTGAATGGAAATATCTATTGGCTTGCTTGTAGTAATTATAAGACTCATGATTACTACATCCGAATCTTTGATTTCTCGACGGAGAATTTCAAACCTTTCTGTCTCCTTCCGTGTAAAAAGAACCATGGTATTGATGAACTTATCCTCGCGGTTTATAAGGAAGATCGGTTTTCGTTGTTAAAGCAATGCAATGTAACAAGGGAGATTGAGATATGGGTAACGAAAGAGAGGATTAGTAATAACAATGGGAACGGTGGAGAGGACGTGGAGTGGATAAAGTTGATGACCTTGTCAACAACTAATTTGCCTAAGCTATTTGGTAAGTCTTATCCCAATAGTTACTTCATCTATGAGAAGACCTTATACATGTGTGATGGCGACGATGAAACTGCATTGGCTTGCATTTATATTGTGAGGGAAGATTTGTGCAAGAAGTTTCAAATAGGTTCTGGGATCGTTTCAAATATTAACTGTCGTCACTGTGTTTATACTCCCAATTTGCTCTCGCTTCCTTTCATTATAGGTTAAATCTCGGTTCCTCTGATGATAATCTCGTTTTGTCTCTTTAAGCATTTTCTTCTTCGACTTTTATGTAATATCGATGTTCAAGCGAACCCTTTGATTAAAGATTTTATATCATGACTGTTTTATTTGAAAATACTCTGCTCCATCCAAAAAATAGTTTTTGCTATTTCTAATCTTTTAAACAGTGATATCCACCCCATGCATTGTATTGTACAATACTAGGTTCATAATCTTTTTCCGTATAGTATGGTCCAATGCAATGCAAGGGGTGGATAGCTCCTAGTTTTTCTTGTTCTTAAAATTGTGACGGTCCATGATATTAAAGTTTAGATAGTTTAATGGATGAAAGATATATAATAACCGCATTATCTCTATCACCACCGACCGGAAAAAGTTGTAGCGGACGTTTTGTAGTTTCTCTTTCTTTTGGAACACATAACACATCAAAGCTACCTTTTTTTTTAAGAGAGTATATAAAAACCCCAAAGAAGTAACCCTAATTACCGGAAGAGCTTGCGTTTACGTAGCAATGAGAAGAGTCACCCGAATACATTAAATCGATTGTAAGACATTAAAGCAATAAACAAGATGAAATATGGCAAACATATTTGTTCTGCATTGAAAAAAGAAGATTATAAACAAAGGAGGAAAGAGGTGATGACCTCTCACCTCTCTTTTGCCGGCCATTCTCAAGATAAGGTAATTTCGTCCAAAAGATATCAAAATGGTTACTTGTTAGGTTTTCATAATTATGTGACTATATTCTTTATTCTCCCTATTTATACATGTATGTATAGAATACTTATATATTTTCCTTCTCCTACCGTTACAATTTCATTTTCAGCTTTTTGCTTTTGAAAATAAAGTCACAAAATACACCGACTTTTAGTTTTGTCATACTGATATATATATATTATCAATCTATCTTTAATTTCTCATTAAACAGGGTTGCAATTAATTGTTCTTGATTTGTTGTATATACTTCTAAAATTTTTATTTTCTCAATAATTTAGAAATAACTTTTCAATCTTTCACTTTGTTAAATATTAGACCATCACATGGTACTTACACATATGTATGTATTTTTTCGACATATATACACTTTTATATTCAATGTTAGGATCTAATTTTACTTTGCATTAGTAATTTTTCAAAAAAGAAAAAGATCATTAAAGTTACTTTCCTTTTGCTAACAGCTCAGAGGATTAAATACAGTTTCTCTTCTCCTATTTTTATCAGCGCTATACTTCAAAACTAAACTAAAAACAGAAGACCTCATGGCTTTGCAAGTGAAGCTTCCGTGGGAGTTGGAGGAAGACATACTCTCTCGTCTTCCACCTCAATCTCTTGTTCGATTCAGAAGCGTATGTAAAAGATGGAACTCTCTTTTCAGCAACAATTATTTCCTCAACAACCACTTGTCTCGCTCCCATCCCGAATTCATCATCTTGACCAATTCCAAGATCTATTCAGTAGACATCATCGATCACAAAAACATCGATCCAACGATAGAGTTGCGTGAGCTACCCTCCTCTGATATTCCAGACCGGGAAACAAATTGGAACTACGGAACCATCACCACTACTTGCGATGAGTTCTTGTTTTACAGCTTTAGGTTTTGGGAGAACAAGACAGCACTCTGGAATCCATGGTTGAGACAGGTTAGATGGATCGAGTACGAGAATAAAGAGTTCTGTGTTTTCGGCTTAGGATACGATAATAGTAGACCCCAAAAGGTATACAAGATCTTGGGCTATTTTGTTTCTCACGGTAAAGTCCTAATCAAGAAAGATCAGAGAGTTGCGATCTACGGGTGTGAGTCTCACGCGTTGAGGTTTATTGATACACCTGAAGATGACTGGCCCATAACTGAAACAGCTAAACGATCAAACGTGTCCTTGAATGGAAATCTCTATTTGTTAACTTGTAGTAATTTTGCGACTCAGGAGTACTTCATCCGAATCTTTGATTTCTCGACGGAGAATTTCAAACCGCTCTGTCTCCTTCCGTGTAAAAAGAACCATGAAATTGATGAACTTCTCCTCGCGGTTTATAAGGGAGATCAGTTTTCGTTGTTAAAGCAATCTTGTGTAACAAAGGAGATTGGGATATGGGTAACGAAGGAGAGGATTAGTAATAACAATGGCGACGGTGAAGAGGGCGTGGAGTGGATAAAGTTGATGACCTTGTCAATAACTAACTTGGCAAAGCTATTTGGTAAGTCTTATCGCGTTAGTTACTTCATCTATGAGAAAACCTTATACATGTGTAATAACGACGATGAAATTGGATTGGCTTGCATCTGTATTGTGAGGGAAGATCTGTGCAAGAAGATTCAAATAGGTTCTGGAATCTTTAAGTGTTGTCACTGTGTTTATACTCCCAATTTGATCTCGCTTCCTTTATTTTTAAGATAGATTGCGTGATTTGCAAGTCTAGTTTTTTCAGTCAGATTGAAGATTACTAGGATATTTCTGATTTGCCCTCCCGATAAAGCTTGCTTCTTCCCTCGGATGGTGGTGCTTCGGGGATCCTACTTTTCCTCCGATGATACTCAGAGTTGCTTCCTCTTTTCGTCTCCTTAAGCATTTTCTTCATTGTTTACTCGCCTATGGACTTTTATGTAATATCGAGGTTCTTCATAACTGTTTTATTTGAAAACACTCTGCTCCATCAAAAAAATAGTTTTAGCTATTTTGCATGATTGCTTGTGCGAGCATTTTTGAATTTTAGCAGAATGTAAGCTCGGAATTCGTACTTAACCTGAGGTGAGTCTACGAGACTACTCAAGCTCCTAGGGAACTTATCACTACGTGGCCTACTTCTTAGAGTAGACTTCCAGCCAGACTTATGTTTTCCTTTGGTATCCTTGTCCAGCCCCGGCTCAGAGGGGTAGGTGCCATTTTACCAACCTTTTTGCTTTTTGACTTTTTCCTTGCCATTTTTTTGTTATTAGGAATTTATATTGATTTTGGAATGTTTAAGTTTCTACGATGTTATTCCTTATGGAGTATTCAATATCTTACAAGCATAAAGATATTTATCGGTTGCCAATCTTGTCTTGCTTCTCTACAAAAAAAGAAGAAGATTCAAAACAAAAATGTGAACCAAAAAAAAAAACAGAGCAAAAACATAACATAGGAAAAAAAAAATTAGTGATGTGAAGAAGACTTTTGGTTTACTACTGTCCAAAGGATGAGGAATAAGATGAGCAAGAGTTAGGAACCTCCATTCAGGCCCGGGCCTACGTTGTAGAAAAAGAAACTCTCGCTTCCGGCCTTTTTTTAATTAAAAAAAGTTCAATGATTCACTAATATTTCTATTTGGTAATTTAGGTCTAATTTTAGTATCTAAACGTTGTATAGATAAAAATGGTAATGCTTTTTTTAAGATAGTACTTAAGTAAAGTAGAAAGTAACCACTAAAACTAGGATAATACTCGGCCGATTGGTATCATAACTTAATCGTATATTTAAACTTTTATTGTTTATGATTTTTTTGGCTATTTTATCAAACAAAATGGAGTTTAAGAATAAAAGAAAGTTAGTTAATGATTTATAGGAAAAAAATAAAAGTATAATCATTTTCAATTAATATTTTCCCCTAGTTTTGTTTATTTCAGATAATGATGATTTTTGAAATTTTTTATTTATATGATATGAGATTATTTTTTCTAAAATACCGCTTATGGTCTACGTATCTCTAGGCACGCCTCTGCCTCCATTGATGAGACCTTGAAGGTGCAACACAAATATGCTACAAAGATAACCTGATACGATTTTAAAGGTTATTCTTTTCCATTTTTGTTTTTGTTTTACAAAGGGTAACAACGACTCAACAGGAACCCCTGCCTATAGTTAGACCACCGAGACTATATCTGTTTTAGAGTGTTCTCCAGTGGTCAAGCGTTAGGTGGTCACATGAGATGTCATTGGGAGAAAGATCAGGAAGAGAACCAAGTCAGGGGCATCGATCTTAATGTTCCTATGTTAGGTTATTCTTTAGATCTTATGTTAGGAGTTTGATGTATATAATATTCTTTAGATCTTATTATTTAGATCTTATGTTAGTTAATGATATGCAACTAGTGATAAAGGGGTTGCAGCTGTAACTACCGCCACCTGGTTTCGATTCACGGTGGGAGGGACTATTTACAATGCTTGGGTTCCCGGCAAAGAGGTGAAACCACCTTTTTGGACCTCACGGTTTCTCTCCTTTGCGGGACGTCTCAGTTTGGTAAGGTCAGTATTAATGAGTATATCAAATTTCTGGATGAATGCATATAGACTGCCACGGGAATGTATACGGGAAATAGAAAAATTATGTGCTGCGTTTCTCTGGTCCGGACCATCACTAAATCCAAACAAGTCAAAAGTCTCGTGGGAAGGAATCTGCAAGCCAAGGGAAGAAGGAGGACTTGGAATCAGATCCTTAAAAGAAGTAAATGACGTATGCTGTCTCAAACTGGTTTGGAGGTTAATCTCAAATGGTGACTCCCTTTGGGTTACATGGTCAAAAATGAATCTGCTTAAAACAGAGACCTTTTGGTCATTTCGCGCTACTTCAAGTCTGGGCTCATGGATGTGGAAGAAGCTAGTAAAATACAGAGACATGGCAAAGACTTTCTGCAAAGTGGAGGTACACAATGGAGATCACACCTCTTTTTGGTTTGATAATTGGTCTGATATGGGTCCTCTAATGGATGTAACTGGCCTACGAGGAGTCATTGACATGGGGATAGGCAGAAAAATGACAATGCGGGAAGCTTGGGAACAACGCAGGAGAAGACGACATCGGGTCGACGTGTTCAATGATATAGAGGAGCTGCTGGCACAGAAATACCACACACGCAATCAGAACAGAAACGACGTTGTCTTATGGAGAGGTAAAGGTGATGTTTTCAAGCCTCATTTCTCCACAAAAGACACATGGAACCATATTAGAACAACATCGAACAGAGTGGCTTGGCACAAAGGAGTTTGGTTTGCTCATGCAACACCGAAATACTCCTTTTGCGCCTGGTTAGCATTACAAAATCGACTATCGACCGGAGACCGTATGATGGGCTGGAACAATGGCTCCACAACATCATGCACTTTCTGCTCTGCTCCCATTGAAACCCGCAACCACCTCTTCTTTTCATGTCACTATGCTTCGGAGATTTGGACAGCCACTGCAAAAAACGTCTTCAAATCCCGGTTCTCAACGGATTGGAATACACTTGTGGATTACATATCGGAGTCGCACCCGGATCGTATCCACAGTTTCCTAATCAAGTACACGTTCCAACTCTCGATTCACATGATCTGGCGAGAGAGGAACGCTCGACGGCACGGGGAACACCCTAACACACCTATCAACCTCATTCGTTGGATCGATAAGCAAGTTCGCAACCAACTCTCAGTAATTCAGAGACAAGGAGATCGGAGATATGAAAATGGATTACAAACATGGTTCGCCTCCCGCATCTAGAGCACACACCAACAAACCGTTCAAAGCTTAAAGCCCTGTTCTCCATGTTTTTCTTCAAACCTCTGTTTTCTATTTGATATAAAAAGTCAAAAACAGCTGATGTAAACAGTATATTTTTCTTTTTGAATATAATTTGACATTTTATTCAAAAAAAAAATGATATGCAAAAACTGTTATTTAATAAATGTCCTATCGAAGAAATTAGCTTTATGAATGAAGCTCATCATTTTCATAACGTTGAATCTTTATCTCTATGTACGAAATTGAATAATGTTTGATCACACACACACACACATATATATATGTATCATGCATGGGTTATGGTGTTTCTTCATAATGTCATTACACCAAAAAAAAAGAGGAAAAAGGTTTCAACTTTGGTTTGAGTCTTAGAAGATACACAAAACGCCCCAATCAGAAACCAACAAAAAAGATGTCAAAGTATATAGTTCATTTTTTATCCTAGAGAAAATCAAGATTCTTCTTCTCTAACTATATGTTGCTTCGGGAAGAGTTCAGATTGAGGGTCACGATGGCTCCTGCTTTGTTGATTCAGGCATTTCAAAAATGGAGCCTGGATCAAGATCGGTTTGGGTTTCTCATATTTTTTTAGTGTGATTTTTCAAGATCGGTTTGGGTTTCTCTTACAGGAAAGATTGCTCCAAACTCTCCAATCTCTTTATCGTCAGCCTCTTTGTGGGTCTTGAGCGTCCAGTCCTCTCCACCACACTTTGCAAGTAAGATTTTATAACTTCTTCTTCAAACCTCTATCTATTTGGTTTGGAAAGAGCGGAACATAAGGGTTTTCTCAACTGAAGCGAATACCATCTATGCTACTAAGTCTCTTGTTGACCGCACTATGCGCAATCGTCTCATCTCCTTCTCGCCAGAGGATACCGCTACCAGAATTTCTCTCCTTGGTTTTTATTTTGGTTGTATCAATAGCACACCTTAGGTGTGGCAAAGCTCATATGTATTTATGTAAAATGTTCCATTAGCCTCTCTTTTTAAGAGCTAGGTGTGTTTTAGTGGTTTTCATTGTACAATGTAAACCTTTTTTATTTGGTATAAAGTTTAACATTAAACCAAAAAAAATAAAAGATGGAGCCTACAAGCATAAAGATTAATACTCCCTCCGTATTTTAATAATTGTCGTTTTAGAAATTTTATTTTTTTGAATTGGATGTCGTTTTCAAATTTTTATGCAAAATTTCTTACTTTTTAATGTTTTATGACATCATAAAACATTAAAAAGTAAGAAATTTTGCATAAAAATTTGAAAACGACATCCAATTCAAAAAAATAAAATTTCTAAAACGACAATTATTAAAATACGGAGGGAGTAATATTTAAAACAAATCATCTACAATGCAATCACGGTCAACAATAAGTCATTGGTACCCTAACCATGGTTCTCTGTAACAACTCTACTTCAATTTTAGTCGCTTGTTTGAAGACCTCAGCAGATTTATCTTTGCTCCCGATTCCGGCTAGTATCATCGAGTGCAAGTAGAAACCGATTGGAGACTGAGGAAACTCTTCTTGTGACTTCATAAACTACTGCTGATACGACTTGATTGCGGGATAAGTAGGATAAACATCTTCTTCCATATACGTTGGATGATACCTTTCTTCTATGTTTAATGATCTGTGGACAGAAAAAAAAAATAAAGCATTTAACGCTATATGTAAAAAAGTTATTATTGATCTAGTTTCAATAATTTGTCGTATACCTCAGTATATTTTTCGATTGTGGGAAGATAGCTTTTCCTTTTGAATTCAAGATCCGCACGTCGTGCGTCCTCATCAACTATACCACTCTTCCCAGGTTCTAACCAATCATCGAAAGAGGTCTTCACAAAACCAACAAATATCAGAGTTTGTGTTTGCCTAAGGCAGAGTCTGAGTTTGCAGTTACTGTCCATTTTGACGATTTGTGTTTGAAGCTCCTAAAGCAGTTTGAAGTAACTGTCCATTTTAAAGATTGGTGTTTGAAGCAGAGTCTGAGTTTGAAGTTACTGTCCATTTTGAAGATTTGTGTTTGAAGCAGAGTCTGAGTTTGAGGTTACGGACAATGATCTCAAGCCTTGAACCACCTAGTTGTAGTAACCGATAACCACCAATTTGAGTTTTACGGACTATGAAGTAACCGATAACCGAATTGTAGACAAAGTGCAAATAATAATAATTCATATGCTTGTTACTAATAGATAAAAAATAAAAAAAATTTAAAAAAAACCGTCTATGTTTCTCATTTGAGGATTTTGCATGGTGGTGACAAGTCGATTTTTGTAAAGCTCAAACTGGCTACGTAAATTTAATTTTTTTTGTAACATCAACAGCTTGTATTAAACTGATTTAATGTGGATGATTTGTACAAAGAATCATGAAACAAGAAAAGGAGTTACAAATTGAGAATCATTAATGGTAGGCTTTTTTTTTTTTTTGGTAGGAATTAATGGTAGGCTCTTTGGCTAAACGATCAGCTGCTTTGTTGCAATTCCTTGCGTCCATTTGAATTTATGTTATTTTATTGAGATCTTTTTCTATAATTGATTTTAAGTTAATGAGAGACATTTATTTATATTAATGCTCATTGTTTTTACATTGTCATTGGCACCAATTTTATATTTGGAAACCATGGGTCACATAATCAGCTCAATCTTAAAACAAAAACATGTACTTAACTCTAGATTTTAGTGTGTTTTTTTTCTTCCTAAAATTGATTTGTTTTCGATAAAATTGTTTAACTTCTTCAACTATTTTTCTTCACAGAATAAATAATTCAATATTTAATTGTTTTGTAAATGTGAATAGTCTTGAAGCCACGTTGCTGAGCTAAGCTGATTACATCTGCAAAATCTTTATCATGAGCGAAAAGAACTAAAACACCGTTAGTTGTATCGGTTTGACGGCGAGCCTGCATCCACAAATGTATGTGCAATTCTATCCTACTGTCGGCTAGTTGTTTAGGCACTCCTTTCTCTAAAGCATCTTGCCGCACGTATTAAACTTTGATTTTACTATCAACAAGAGCAGCGCTGATTGTGGGGCTAATCCTCCTCGGACTTTGATTTGCAGCTACCGATCAAATAAAAAATCCACTGGAGAATGACCTCAGAGATTCTGAAGTATATATATTTACAGAACTCCGTACTGGAATTTTAATTTGGGTCTTTTGCACAAATAACCTATTTTCATATTATAGTTAAATTTATAGCACTGTAATGTTAGAATTTAAGAAACTAACACATGTGGATGGTGAAAAGACAAAACTAGAGTCAAAAATAAGAACAAGAAAGAGAAACTAGAGTAACATCTATCTTCGTTTTAGCAAATTATAAACCCAAGTGATCTTGCATTTCACATTAATATGATATTAATAATTAATAAAAAAAAATTCACTCACTATCACAAATTTAAAGAATAGATTGTTGAGTGAATTGCAAGTCTTTTTTTTTTTGTTTTATTAGGAATCAAGATTGATATTAAAACTGATGACAAAAAAAAGAAAAGAATCAAGATAGATCTCATTAGATAAATGATATATCGAATGGATGCTTCCGTACAATATCGTAGTTGGGAAGAAGTCATAGTGAATATTATTGAAATGTATTAACTCTGAACTTCATTGTATTTAAAGACACAGTCGTAAAGTCGTCCTCCGAGAAACTGTGCTACTTCAACATGCTTCACCTTCATAACCAAAGGATGTTCATGAGAAGTCAGAATTATCAGAACTAAACAGAGAACATTTCTTTTCATTACTCCGATGAAGAATAAAAGAGAGTAACGGTGTCATAGCGAAAGTACTACCATTCCGATCTTGAGAGAATCACACTTGAACTGAGCATAAAGGTTTGTCTCGATCCCACGACCCTGAATAGAAGAAAGCCAAGACTAGTTAACTAGTTGTTAAAATCGCGCTTCACTTTCACACTGTAATGGCCTTACCATGCCTTCTAGGATGACTAAGTCTGCATCAGATGAAAGGTAAGCAAGCTCATGTGATACTCTTGAGAGATCGATAACCTGAAACAAATTTTCGAGAAGAAGAAAAAAAAAAACCCTCAAGAATCTAATGAATAAACCCATGTTTCTCTCTGGGAGCTTCTAATGTCTTACCGCTAAATCATTCCCTGAATTTGCAATCAGAAGCTTTGAAGTGTCAACGCCTATCAATTCATTTCCATCCTTCAACTGGTAGACTAGGACTAATAAATCAGATTCACTTTTCTTTGAATTATTTAATATCAAGAATTACTATATTCATCACCTGCGACACGATATCTGTAAGCTCGGTATATGTTACATCGTTGATAGCTGGCAGCTCGTTAGCAGCCAGCACCACCTTCAAGAAGAAAGATGAAGAGGAAGAACAATTTAGAGTAACCAGAAGCTCACTCAAGAGACTCTGACAAAAAGACACAGTCATTTCCAAAAGTACCTACCTGAGTTCCTCGACGGAGCAGCTCTCTTGCAAACGGCAAAATACCCAAAATTATGTCTGCACCAGAATTATCAACAAAAATCACTGCCTGCCATGAAAAAGAGAATACAAACAACTAATTTTGTTAAGCTATTAACCTCTGAAGTCTGACCATAGCATTAGATAAAGAAGAAAACAGATGAGTGACCTTCTTCCAAGGCTTCTTGATCCATTTGGCTTGGAAGTTGTCCAAGTCATCAATGACCCAAGGTCGTGGAACCAAGTTTTGACAGGTAGCCAAGAAAGATATGCCATCCCTTGAGAAAACCTCAGCAAGCTTCAAGATTCGAAAAGAAAAGAGACCATAATTAGGACAAGCTTTCCTGGGGGAGCTGAAGAAACCAGGGTTGTTCAAGTAATAGAATACCTGTGCAGAACCTAGATCAAAGATGTTTCCAGCAAATATCCCTCTCACCAAATTCTCTAACCGTTTTCCGTCATCTTCAATAGCATCACTCAGACTAACAACTTCAGGAAATAGTGATATAGCCTTTGCATTCTCCTCATCCTATTTCATTTTCATCAATGAATGTGAACTTATCTAATCAGAGATAGAGAGAAAGAGTATCTTAGAACCTCAAGTGCCCTTGAAACAAAATTCAAACCTTAACTTTCTTGAATATGTCCCTAAATCCTAACTCTCTGAGTAAATGCTCACGAACTCGGCCGCGAATCTGAAAACAAGCCGAAATAATCCATGAAAACAAAGCTCACTACACCAGAGACAAAAGATCATGAGGTGTTTTAGACTTACAATGCCATCTGGTGGCCCGCCATTGCTCTCTGGATCTTTCTTCCAATCTTCAAGAATTCCCGCATATCTTCCAGATTCAAAGTAAGACATTTTTAAACACAAATAAAATTAGTTCTAGTTTATGAATGTGACAATGCCAAAAGATTTCCAACCAACTAAACCTTGAGAATGACCACATATATAAGCAAAAAATGTACCTCTCTGCAAATATTTTAGCTCTAGTTGGAGCATCTGGAACAGTGATATCGCTCTCTGCTCGTTTCCTGCGAATGAAACACCTTTAGAACATGGAGAATTATGGAAAATTTCGTGTTAAAAACAGGGTTTCAACTGTTGCCTATAAGCTTCCAGATTCAAGCTCAAAGATAAAAATTCATGATAACACATCAAAGTCAAAGCAACAACTAGCAAGACAACAGTAACTAACTTCACGCGTTCCAATTCAAGCAAACCATTTGGATATGAGCCTAAAAGGAGATGTTTTTGGTAACAAAATCAAAACTTGATTCGACCCATGAACAGTATCTGAATCTGGTCATAGTAAAGAGAAACCAAAGTTGGAAGAGAGAGAGAATGAACTTGAAAGAAGGGATGGAATTAGCGAAGACGTTGATCCACGAGATTTCAGTAGGAGTGGCTTTCTTGAGATTATCAGAAGGGAATCTATAAGGAATGGTGCAAGCTCTGTAGTTGGTTTCTATCGGCGTCGGTAACAGAGGAAACGGAATCATCTCCGAATTGTTAACGACGAAGAACGAGTGTCTATAGAGCCGGGTCGGGTACGGGTCAGTGTTCGGATTGTATTTAGCACTTTAAATAGTAGCCAAGTTCCAAACTTTGTGGTGTTTGTATCTCTCTCGGCACACTAGCTAAAAGCCACTCTGCGTTTTAAAAAAACTCTGCTAATGTTTTGCCATTAGAAGTTCCAGAATGCAAGAGTTCACAGTTAAGATAAGCTAATGCTTGAATAAAATCCACTGGCTATAACTTTGTTTTGTAGATTCAAGTCAAAGAGAGAATACGGAAAAAATGAAGCAAGACACATGGATGTTGTTACTTATGTTCCACGAGAAGGGCATAAGTAGAGAAATTATGGAAATAGGCAAAAGGTACCACAGTATGTAAGTTTTAGCTGGAACCTAGCTTACCCGACTGTCTATCAGCTTGAACACAAGCAAGAGCATGGGTTTGTCGTACAGACACAATCTTTTACTTCTTCCTTTATGTTCTGAAACCCCGTAGATTTAAACCTGCTACTGGGTGCTGGTTTGTCCAGAGGACTAAGCTGCTAGAACAGGAGAGGGCAGTCTAGGAGTTCACGGTAAGTGCTGTTATCTTTCGATCCCAAAACATTTGATTTGTCTATTATTAACAACACCAGTAATCACTGTTCACTCTCACTCATGCATCCTTGCATCTTTACGTGGTCATCTTTGGTTCTCTTCACGCCATGTCGTCATCAGATGCTTGCACATTCAAGCTAAACCACATGAAAAATACTTAACAACAGAAGAATATGGAAAGATATGTCCTAGTGTTGCCACTGTTTTTCTTACAGACGTTTATACTAAATAAACTACATCCATCATTCAGAAAGGCCTCAGCTTCTACATGTCAGTATGAAGAAACGCATATATGATTTGACCAAAACAGAGAAGGAAGCAGAGTGAATGATCATAGAACTCGGTTTGCTAAGTATACATACTTTCTTCATTGAAATTAATTAGACAAACCAAGCATAATTTCAACAAGTGCCTTTCCACTTTATCCATCATAAGCGAAAAACAAATCTTTTTCTTATTGAATTACCATATCAAGATGGAAAGGAGCATAAAGTATTACTCTTTGTATCCTATATTTTGAACCCGATTCAGTAAAAAATCACAGTAGGAGAGAAGTGAGACTGGCGATTACTAAAATATAATTAGCTCTGAACTTCATTGTATTTGAAGACACAGTCATAAAGCCGTCCTCCGAGAAACTCTGCTACTTCAAGATGCTTCACCTGCATAACAAAAGGATGGAACATGAGAAATCAGAAATAAGCAATAAACACACAACATTTCTTTTCATTAATCTGATGAAGAAAAAAAGAGAGTAACGTGACATGGTGAAACTACTACCATTCCGATCTTGAGAGAATCACACTTGAACTGAGCATAAAGGTTTGTCTCAATTCCACGACCCTGATTAGAACAGCCAAGAAGTCAGTTAACAAAAAAACCAAGACTAGTTAAATAGTTAACTCAACGTTTCACTTTCACAATATAAATGGGACTTACCATGCCTTCTAAGATGACTAAGTCGGCATCAGATGAAAGGTAAGCAAGCTCCTGTGATACTCTTGCGAGATCGATAACCTGAAACAAATTTTTGGGAGGGGAGAAATAAGAACCCAATGAATAAAATCATTTTGTTCAGGGACTTTCTAATGGCTTACTGGTAAGTCATTCCCCGAATTTGCAATCAGAAGCTTCGAAGTATCAACGCCTATCAATTGGCCATTTTCATCCTTCAACTGGTAAATTAAGACTAAAAAATCAGATTCACTTTTAAAAGCTGCGAATATCAAGAATTACTCATTCATCACCTATTCACCTGTGACAAGATCTCTGTAAGCTCGGTATATGTTATGTCATTGATAGATGGTAGCTCATTAGCAGCCAGCACCACCTTCAAGGGGAAAGATGAAGAGGGTGAACAATTCAGAGTATACGTAAGCTCACTCAAGAGACTATGAAAAAGACTCGATCATAGTCAAAGGTACCTGAGTTCCTCGACGGAGCAACTCTCTTGCAAATGGCAAAATACCCAAAATTATGTCTGCACCAGAATTATCAACAAAAATCACTGCCTGTCATGAAAAAGGAAAGATAAACAATTGATTTTGTCAAGCGGGTAACCACTGAAGTCTGACCAAAGCATTAGAAAAAGAGCAAAACAAATGAGTGACCTTCTTCCAAGACTTCTTGATCCATTTGGCTTGGAAGTTTTCCAAGTCATCAATGACCCATGGTCGTGGAACCAAATTTTGACAGCTAGCCAAGAAAGACATACCATCCCTTGAGAAAACTTCAGCAAGCTTCAAGATGTGAAAAGAAAAGGGCCAATAAATTAGGAAATGCTTCCTGTGGGAGAAACCAAAGAGAGGCGACTGAAAGATACCTGTGCAGAACCCAGATCAAAGATGTTTCCAGCAAATATCCCTCTCACCAAATTCTCTAATCGTTTTCCGTCATCTTCAATAGCATCACTCAGACTGACAACTTCAGGAAATAGTGATATAGCCTTTGCATTCTCCTCATCCTATTCAATGAATGTGAACCCATCTAATCAGAGAGAATAAGTGCTACGGCTAGCTATCTTAAAACCTCAAGAGCCCTTGAAAGGAAATTCACACCTTCACTTTCTTGAATATGTCCCTAAATCCCAACTCTCTGAGTACTTGCTCACGAAGTCGGCATAGAAGCTGAAAATGAGCCAAAATAATACATGAAAACAAAGCTCACTAGTCACTACACCAAAGGAAAGTATCAGGTGGTGTTTTGACTTACAATGCCATCTGGTGGCCCGCCATGGCTCTCTGGATCTTTCTTCAAGTCTTCAAGAATTCCAGCATATCTTCCAGATTCAACGTAAGAGATATCAAACGCAAATCCAAAAGACTGAAACACTATCTTGTGTATCATATAATACAATGGCCCTTCTGAAAGTAAGAAAAACGCAAACCACAGGGCACAAAATCCGTTCTACTTTATGAAGGTGACATTGGCAAAAGATTTCCTACCCAATAAACCACTAGAATTAACACATACATACGCAAAAAAAGTACCTTTCTGCAAATTTTTCAGCTCTAGCAGGAGCATCTGGAACCGTTGTATCGCTCTCTGCACGTTTCCTGTAAATGAAACTGCTTTAGAACATTGAGATTTATTGGGATTTTCTTGTTAAAATCAGGATTCCAACTGTTGCCTATAAGCTTCCAGCCACTACTATAGATTCCTAGTGATGTAACTAAATCAAAGACCAAGTAAACCCAAGAAAGTCAACACACACAACAAACCAACGACATTAGTCGAATTTAGCTGAAAGACTAAAATTTTCTGATATATGAGCCTATGAGAAGCAGTCTATGGTAGCAAAATCAAAGCTTAATCCGACCTATGAACATGAACAATTCCCATTAACAGAATCTGAATGTGGTCAAAGTAAATAGAAACTGTGGGAAGAGAATGAACTTGAAAGAAGGAATGGAATTAGCGAAGACGTTGATCCACGAGATTTCAGTTGGAGTGGCTTTCTTGGGATCATCAGAAGGGAATCTGTAAGGAATTGTGCAAGCTCTGTAGTTGGTTTCTATTGGCGTCGGTAATTGAGGAAACGGAACCATCTCTGAATCGCTCTCCATTTTCTTTGCTTGTAATCTTCAGAAATGATTGATGACGATGAATAACAAGTGTATCTAGAGCTGGGTCGGGTACGGGTCAAAGATCCAGATTAGTGTTTCCACTACCACACGACTTAATGTTGCATTTTCTGCGTTGGGTTTGGTTTGGATTTTAGTTTAATACTAGTAGCCAAGTTCCAAACTTTGTAGTGTTTGTTTCTGCAACTACCTAAAAATCACTGAGCATTTGTTTGAGGGAGTGTTAAGGTTTTTGTTCTATACAAATCAGTCATCTTTCGTCTCCAAACGATTTGATACCTTATCTGTGTTCAGCTTTTAGCTGAAGCAGCAATCTGAATTGTAGAAACCATTGAAATGCCTGCATTGCAGAAGAACTTGCTGTTCGCTGCGGCTATTTGTCGAACGGAATATCAATGCTCTCTTGGATTAAGGAGAAACCTGTTTTGGTAAGCAAATCTAAAGGAAGCTGGAGAATATAGAAAACATTCATATGCCAAAAGTTCAAGTATGCAGGAGTTTACAAAGAAGCTTTCCCAGTTAGAGTTAGTTAGTCACTGATCCAATATCAACCTATCCCCAACACCTAATGCTTGAATAAAGCTACTGAGTTACAAGTTTGTTTTAGATTCAACTCAAAGAGAGAATGTAAAAAGTAAAGAAAATCATATGGATATTTCCTTTTGATAGATACATACAGATGTCGGTTTCTGAGTCGAGCAAATCTAACAGGACCAGGGGAAAATTCATCCTTCGGAATAAAGATATACAAAACTAAGTAAAGAAATTAAGAAACCAGCAAGAAATATGGAAATAGGTACAATGTACCACGATGTAAGTTGTAGCTCCAAAACAATTATTCCTATTGTAACATAGAGGATAATGGAACCTAGCTCAACAGTTTGGCTATCAGCTTAAAAACCAACAAGAGCACGGCACAACCTTCTACTTCTTCCCTATGTTCTGAAAATTGAAACCCCTTAGGCTTGCTACTGGGTGCTGGTTTTCCAGAAGACCAAGCTAACTATAACAGGAGAAGGGGATTCTAAATGCTGTTATCTACCTAATCCCTACCCCAACACATTTGTTTATTGTTTAACTCTCTTCAATCACCAATCATCATGATACATACTAACACCAATAATCATTGTCCACTCTCACTCATGCATCCTAGCATCTTTACCCTGGCCATCTTTCGTTCTCTTCATGCCATAAGATGTTGACACGTTCAAGCAAAACCACAAGAACAGAAGAAAACGGAAAGATATGTTCCGGTGTTGCCACTGTATTTCCTCCAAGCATCTATACTAATCAAACTACATCCATCATTCAGAATGACCGTGATCTAAAAATACCCCAATTTCTACACAGCAATCAACAGAAGTTTGAATAGAGCAAGGAAGCACCTTGAAGTGATCAGAGAACTCTCTTTCCAGAAAACACAATACTTTCTTCATTGAATTTAATAATTTACACAAACCAAAGCATCATTCCAACAAATCCCCTTCCCATTGCATCCATCATAAACGTAAGAACAAATCTTTTCCTTTTGTGCCCTATGTTTCGAATCCAGATTCCAAATTCCAACCTCATTTCTTAGCCTTAGAGAATCTAAGACACCGATATTTCTCACCACTCACAGTAATTTCAAGAGCACCATCTTGATTATCCTGATTTGACGCAGTCCCCATGAGAACACTCTTCTCCTTCTCCAGATTCTCTCTCTCCATCTTCAACCTCGCTTCCTGTCTAGCAATCTCCGTCTATCAAAAATCAGAAAACAAATCAGTATCCCAACACAGATTTCCCCAAAAAAACCCTAAAAATCAAAATTTTAAAAAAACGAACCTCACGGCGAGAGAGCTCAGCTTTCCAGGCAGCTTCTCGTTCAGCGACTTCACGCTCACGCTCTTCAATATAACTTTGCATCTCTCTCTCCTTCATGATCCGATCTTGTATATCAGCGTCAAGTGCTTGCTTTAGCTCCTCCACAAACTTATCCACCACTAATTTAATTCTCAGCGACATCGTTCGTCTTCGAAACAAATTCTAACTATATACAAAATCTCCTCCTTCCTCACACTAACCGCTGCTACACATAAATTACAAGTTTCCTCCTTCTAATTACGGCGGCGCTTCACCGATGGAGAGATTCCGATCTTTTCTCGTTGAAGCTTGCGTGAGAACTGAGGAAGGGGACAGAGACATTCACGACCTTTTGTTTTTTTTTTCCTCTTTCTAATCTTCTTCAGAGAGGGAAAAATAAATAAAAGCGGGCTCTTATTGGGCCTATACTGGGCCTGTATAACTAAACATAGTTCACACGTGTGGCAGCGGATTTTTTGGATTACACATGTTAAAAACTTAAAATTAGGGTTTTGTGTTTCGCTTCTTCTGAAACCCTAGAAGATATAAGTGAGACTGGTTTGCTTAGCCGCGGAGAACTCAGAACTCATTCTCTGCAAACATGGTTCGTAATCTTCGTCTCTTTCTCTAAGTCTAATACTCACAAGCGAATTGCGTCATGTGTTCTTTGTGGTATTCGATAGTTTGTCTCAATCTGTGAATTCATTTTTGTGCGGGACGATAATCTCTGTTTGTATCTAGATAGCATTTCGATGTAATGATGGGTTCTTGTTAGTGTTTATAAAGTTGATTACTTTGTGCGATCTGTAAAATGGGTTTGGGATCGATGTTGAGATCTCAAAAGATAGGATTCAATTAGTCAGATATGGAACATCACAGGCGTTATTCTCTTGTTCTGTGTGATTTGAGGTCTTGAGTGATGAGACTTTTAGTGATTGAGCTATGATGAAGATTTATTGTGTTTTGATTTTTATATTTGTTCGATTTGTTTTTGCAGGCAAGAGGTTTGAAGAAGCATTTGAAGAGGCTCAATGCTCCTAAGCATTGGATGCTTGACAAACTTGGTGGTGCCTTTGTAAGTAACCTGTGTTGGATTGAATCTTATTAGAGCTTTGTTTTCGTTCTATCGGTGCTTATAATGCTGTTTCTGTCCAGGCCCCCAAGCCGTCTTCTGGGCCACACAAGTCTAGGGAGTGTTTACCCCTGGTTCTTATCATCAGGAACAGGTTGAAGTATGCTCTTACATACAGAGAAGTGATATCGATCTTGATGCAAAGGCATATTCAAGTTGATGGGAAAGTCAGGACTGACAAGACTTACCCTGCTGGTTTCATGGGTGAGTCTGGCTATAGTTTTTTGTGCTGCTTGATGTTCATGCCCTTTTGTTGCTGATTTTTGATCAGTTGTCTAACTAAAGATGCATAATTTATTCGCAGATGTTGTGTCTATCCCGAAAACAAATGAAAACTTCCGTCTTTTGTATGACACCAAGGGACGCTTCCGTCTCCACTCCATCAAGGATGAGGAAGCTAAGGTTTGTTCTCTTAAATCCCTTACAATGGGCAAATACTGAATTCGTCGAAACAAAGTCTTTAATGATCGCTCTAGACTTACATTGGAGGTCTGATGAATGTTGATTGCCAGTTTGTATTATGTTCCAACAAGTATTCTCATTTGTTGTGGTGCAGTTTAAGCTTTGCAAGGTGAGATCAATCCAGTTTGGTCAGAAGGGAATTCCGAACTTGAACACATATGATGGTCGCACCATCCGTTACCCCGACCCGCTCATCAAGCCTAATGACACCATCAAGCTCGACCTCGAGGAGAACAAGATTGTGGAGTTCATTAAGTTTGATGTGGGCAATGTAGTTATGGTCACTGGAGGAAGAAACAGAGGGCGTGTTGGTGTGATTAAGAACCGTGAGAAACATAAGGGAAGCTTTGAAACCATCCACATTCAAGACTCAACAGGACATGAGTTTGCTACAAGGTTGGGAAATGTGTTCACAATCGGGAAAGGAACAAAGCCATGGGTGTCTCTACCAAAGGGCAAAGGTATTAAGTTGACCATCATTGAGGAAGCCAGGAAGAGACTTTCTGCTCAACAAGCTTAATACTATACTCTGTTTTCCAGTTTCAGAACAAACTATGCGTTAGTTTGCAGCTTTTCAATGAGTCTACTTTTGTTTTAAAACTTATCTTTTGGGATTGTTATGAGCTATTTTTTGGACCTTTTGTGCTATTAATCTTGTGTGGAACATCAACCTTTAGTTTTTGAATTGCCTTGTAGTATTTAAGAGCCATTTTATTAATCTTAGGGAAATCACAACCTCTGCTTACAAGAGTACGACAAATGTCACCTTTAAACATGTGGTAACATTCTGATTGATGTTTCAAATTTCCGATCTCGATGTCATTTTTTGGTGTGGGAAACAGTTTATGGGTGTGTATGGTACGTACGTTCACGAAAGTCTTACATTGATTTTGGTGCACAAACATACGTGTCTACTTTAAGAAGACTCCAGTCATGTTAATGTCATTATTGTCGCTAACTTCACGTGGTAGTTAGTAGTGGAGTGTTATTTTAAAAATCGTTAGTAGAAGATGCTCAAAGATTCTTCTCGTTGGTGACTTGGTCAAACAAAAAATCCACCAAAAAATAAGAAGATAACAACAAAAACGACACTGACGTCAATGTAGAACCAAATGCCTCGGAAATGCAAGAACACTCAGAGGTATTATTGATTGAAAACAATGTATCTCTAGTATGATATCAAACGCCATGCATGCATCTGTTTTTAGCTCGAGGAAATTATAAGAGTAATCAATAAAATACCCATCACTATACCATTTTATAGTTTTCTTAAAATAATGTTGTTTAATTTGGGTTTCGATTTTCCAATGATGTGGCAATGAATCAACATCAACCCAAAGTTAGTAGCTCACTTCATTGAAATTTTGTAAGAACTATTATTTACTTGTTTTGAGTTTCTGATCTAAAGATTACCAACAAAAACAATGAATCAACGTTAAAATGTGATTGTTCTGTAAAATGAAATCGACTCGGTGAATTAGTTCAACCTCTGAAAAATTATTTGTATTTACAACACAACAATGATCATGTAACTTCATGACAACAAGGAATTGTATTTTTGATGGTTTTCTACACTCATTTTTTTTAAAACATATCATCTGATATGTGAATTAGTTAGACTTAGCATGGTAAATTACTATGGAATAAGAAATTCCAGCAAATAAGAAAAGAATGATAATATTTAAAAGAAAACCTATTAAAATTTGAAAGCCAAAATATGGTTTAAAATTTAAACTACATCCATTCAATAATTAGTTTGAATGGAATATATTTTTTTCTTAGTTTTGTCTTTTTCATTTTAAGTTATAATTTAGTTTCCTATAAACAAGTAAAAAACTATATTTTAGAGATTGAATTTTTACCATTCCAATTTTTTTTTAAAAAAATCTAAAAGCTTTGAAGTCTCGACTATTTGATTCAAAAAAAAAAAAAAACGCCTCATCTCTAGAGTGAATAATTCTTCAGTAATTTGTTTTTGGACTAGAAAAAAAGCAAATACATAACATTAAATATGTTGAAAATAAGAATCAAAAGTAACAAAAACCATAACCCTAATAATCATCCCAAAAGTGGAAATAATAAAAGTAGTTAGATGGTGACGGAGACAAAACCATCTTCTCTGTTCTTCTTCTATGATGATGACCCAACAACATTAACGTTGATTTCGATGTCACCACCACTATAAATAAACCCTCTTCACCTATTTTTGTCATCTCACACTTTGGAGCCCAAAAAACTCTCACAACCATTAAAAAAATCCAAAAAACTCTCCGGCGTCAATGGAGGATCTCCGTCGTAGATTTCCGACCAAAAAGAACGGAGAAATCTCCAATGTCGCCGTCGCTCTTCCTCCTCCTCGTAAAGCCTCTGACGCGCTTCCTCTTCCATTATACCTAACCAACACTTTTTTCCTCGCGCTCTTCTTCGCTACTGTTTATTTTCTTCTTAGCCGATGGCGTGAGAAGATCCGTAACTCGACGCCTCTTCACGTCGTTGATCTAAGTGAGATCTGCTCTCTCATCGGTTTCGTTGCTTCGTTTATCTACCTCCTTGGTTTCTGTGGTATCGATTTCATTTTCCGATCTTCTTCCGATGATGATGTTTGGGTTAACGATGGGATGATTCCATGTGGTCAATCCCTAGATTGTCGAGAGATTCTTCCGATTAAACCTAATTCCGTCGATCCTCCTCGTGTTTCGGATCTTGATTCGGTGGAAGATGAAGAAATCGTTAAATCGGTGATCGACGGAATCATCCCGTCGTACTCATTGGAGACGAAACTCGGTGATTGTAAACGAGCAGCAGCGATTAGAAGAGAAGCGGTTCAGAGGATAACCGGTAAATCCTTAACCGGTCTTCCATTGGAAGGTTTTGATTACAATTCAATCTTGGGGCAATGCTGTGAGATGCCAGTTGGGTATGTTCAGATCCCAGTGGGGATTGCTGGACCTTTGTTACTCGATGGGATTGAGTATTCAGTGCCAATGGCTACAACAGAAGGTTGTTTGGTTGCTAGTACTAATAGAGGTTTTAAAGCTATTCACTTGTCTGGTGGTGCTTTTAGTGTTCTTATGAAAGATGCCATGACTAGAGCTCCAGTTGTTAGATTCCCTTCTGCAAGAAGAGCTGCTCTTGTCATGTTTTATCTTCAAGATCCTGCTAATTTCGAGAGATTGTCTCTCATTTTTAATAAGTGAGTTTTGAAAGTTTCTCCTTTTAGTTAGTGTTAGGATGGTGATTTGAATGGTGTTACTGACTTGTTTGTTATTGTATATGTTATAGATCGAGTAGATTTGCTAGGCTTCAGAGTATTACATGTAAGATTGCTGGAAGGAATCTCTATCCGAGGTTTGCGTGTAGTACCGGTGATGCTATGGGGATGAACATGGTCTCCAAAGGTGTTCAGAATGTCTTGGATTTCGTAAAGAGCGAGTTTCCTGACATGGATGTTATTGGCATCTCAGGTAAACTCTTCTTTCTTTCTTTCTTTGGTATTGTCTCGATTTTCGAAATAAAGTCTTTTAACTCTTTTTGATTAATTGGTGTTATGGTGTTCAGGGAATTACTGTTCGGACAAGAAGGCTTCAGCTGTAAACTGGATCGAAGGACGTGGTAAGCATGTTGTATGTGAAGCCTTTATTAAGGCTGAGATTGTGGAGAAAGTGTTGAAGACTAGCGTTGAGGCTCTTGTAGAGCTCAACACGCTCAAGAACCTTGCTGGTTCAGCCATGGCGGGTTCTCTTGGTGGATTCAATGCTCATGCAAGCAATATTGTCAGCGCTGTGTTTATTGCCACTGGCCAAGACCCAGCTCAAAACGTGGAGAGCTCACACTGTATCACCCTCATTGAAGCTGAAGGCAACGACCTTCACATCTCTGTCTCAATGCCTTGCATTGAGGTATAATGCATGTTCTATCTGAAATCAAACTTAACTCATGATTGCAGAGAACACGAAGACAGTGTTTTGAATAATGCTGGATCCAACTCACGAACTTTGTTTAATGATGTTGCTGTAGGTTGGTACTGTTGGAGGTGGTACACAACTTGCATCACAATCAGCTTGTTTGAATCTGCTCGGTGTGAAAGGATCAAACAATGAGGAACCTGGATCGAACGCACAGCAATTGGCAAGAATAGTGGCTGGTTCGGTTCTTGCAGGAGAGCTTTCACTAATGTCAGCTATTGCAGCTGGACAGCTTGTGAAGAGCCACATGAAATACAACAGATCCAGCAGAGACATTGGCCCTTCGTCTCAAGTCAACAGATGATGGTTGGAGCACGACGAGACGGATAATAATAAAACAAAACAAAAACCCAAAAGTAGATTTGATGTAATTTTAACCTCATTTGATTTCTTTTCTATCTATTTTGTACTCTTTAAGTCTCCACATTATCTTAATTAATGTAAAGTCATTTTTGTCCTTCCATCTTTATGGCTTATATCATAGCTTAGCATCAAAGTGTTACTGACGGCATAATTGTTCTGTTGTTGTGAGATTAAAGCTTTAAGCCATGACTTTGTAACATTGAATAGATCACTGTGGCCTGTGGGAGTGTTTGCTATGCGATGATGATGTACATGACAAAGTTAGGTTACTAATAAATGTAGAAATGTGGTTGTGGATGTTGCAGAGGATGGAGGAGTGTTACGGGAGTTTGACAAATGAAGCTATGAACATGGAAATTGGTGCAGTTGGAGACGATGAAGTCTCTCCTCATGGCATGTTTGAGTCTTTGATGATATATGTTAGCAAGTAAGCAGTAGAAATTAGAAAATGTGCAGAGATAATTTAATTTGGTTTACTATTTTCAATTTCTTTTTTTTTTGCAAAAATAAAAGAACCAGAAATAAAATGTTACAGTTTTTATTCTGGTTTTAAAAATGTAAAAATCCACGACAAAAAAAAAAAAAAGATGTAAAAATCCAACCCGATTCATTCTGACCGTCGGATCGGTTCCAATTTTTTTAGTTCAACGGTCCGGATTCAAAAGACTACCCAATAAATACAAAAAACCGACTGAAAACAATAAAATAATAATAATAATTTTGTATGAATCCGACCCAGGACAAGATCCGTATCCAACAAACTGATATTACTATTATAACCCTGAATTTCAGGCCATTCTTCTATTCTGTGTGCCGGGGACAGAAGGAATCTTTCGACGATCATCAGCTTCTGGGAATCGAGCTTCGCTATTAACAATCGGCTAAAAATGGTAACAATCGGCACTCTCTTTGCTTTTCGACTTCTAATTTATGGATCTGCCTTCGATCTTATGCCATTGTATCGAGTATTGACGATGCTGCTCATAAACAACTATTGAATCTGAATTTCGCATCTTTGATACTATCTTTATGATTATGATTTTATTTGGTAGTGAAATTGATTCTAAATCCTCCAGTCTCCGTAGATCTCGCGTACAAATTGATCGATTTGTTATGAAGTGAAAGTATTGGTTTGTTTCGTGGATCTTGAAATTGTTATGTTTCAGTTGCCCATTCGAATTTCTTGTGAGTTAGAAAATTCAATTCCTGTTTTTGAACTACTGTTGCTTGTGGAAGTAATTTACCTTCTTGGGTTCAAATGTAGTAGGATCCAAGCTTTATCTATATATATGTGTGTGTGCCTCTGTTTCTGAATTGGAAACACGGGCTCGTTGATCTCTCCATCTTGATATGATTTGTTTTTTCTATGTGTTGTTGAAAACCTTTAGATGGTTTTAAAACTTTTCTTGAGATGCTTGTGTTATGGCTTGCGTTAGCGACAGTTTAGGTGTATGATTGTAGATTATTTTCAAGTTCCGGTACTTGATTTCTTACAGTTCCCTTTGCTTGCCTTCTCCATTGTGTGCATTTCAAATCTTTATGAGTTTCCGGAAATCGTGATATATACTACTGGTTTTGACTGGTCCTGTTTTAATTCTCTTCATCTCGATACTGTCTTTGTGATCTATAATTTTCTCATGCTTGATAATTTTCTATGGGTGAGAAGACGTGAAAAACTATTTAGGTGCTATATGTTTCCATTCACAATGATTTTCTTAGTTGGTGAATACCATCTAGAGTAATGCTTTTTTGAGAAAAAGAAAAACTTCTAAGGTGGCTCTTGTTAAGGAAAATCTTTTAGTCAGATGATCCTGGGAAAAAAGAAAACTTCTAAGTTTTGGGTTATGTTTGTATATCCAGATACATTTCGTGCTACTAGTTAGTCGGCAAGGGAAAGTAAGGCTCACCAAGTGGTATTCGCCTTATACACAGAAGGAAAGATCTAAGGTATGTACAGCTTAGGTATTATTGGGTTAATTGGGTTATGCTTTGCATGCCTTTGATCTTACATTTAGAAACATGATCTGGACAGGTCATACGCGAACTCAGCGGTGTGATTCTGAACCGAGGTCCCAAGCTCTGCAATTTTATTGAATGGAGAGGATACAAGGTTGTCTACAAAAGGTATAAAACGCTGTGTCGATGTTTATATGCGCAGCATTTTCTTGCGCTACTTAGAAAACATGGGTTCTAAACATGATGGTTGTGTATTTGTACAGATATGCAAGCTTGTATTTCTGCATGTGCATTGATGAGGCGGATAACGAGTTAGAGGTACTGGAGATAATTCATCACTACGTCGAGATTCTTGACCGTTACTTTGGCAGTGTGAGTAAACACATATCGAAAAGTTGTTCCTCCACTCTTTTGATAACCTCACAAAACATCTAGATTTTGATTAAGAGCTGTTTATTCTATGATCTTCAGGTGTGTGAACTCGATTTGATTTTTAACTTCCACAAGGTATACATACACAACCTACAGGATCAATGATTCTCCACTCTCTGTATTTTACTTCATTATGACATTTTCGAAACTGGTTGTTTTGTTCTAGGCGTATTATATACTCGATGAGCTGTTGATCGCTGGTGAGCTTCAAGAGTCAAGCAAGAAAACAGTTGCAAGGATAATATCAGCGCAGGTATGGTTTCTTAATAATGCTCATTGATATAAAAGGATTAGTCCTTAAGGATTGTGTTAATGATATGTATTACGATATTTGAAGGATCAATTGGTGGAAGCTGCGAAAGAGGAGGCGAGTTCCATAAGTAATATAATTGCTCAGGCTACCAAGTAGAGTCTCTTTCTGATCTTCTCTTACGCACTTAAAACAATCGTAAATGATTAAATGTTTCCTTATCTTCTGAGAAATTCTCTTCTGAATCACACTTTGTTTGTCATGTCATGTGTTTGTTTGATTGACTAGAAGAAAGAAGTATTCATCGTTTTGGGTTTTATAAATAGTGATTGTTTCTGATCTTTGCGTATAATATGTCTTCACATATTAAAATGGGCATGTCAAAATTATAATTGGTCTGATTTATTGGATATAATAATTGGTTTGGTACCGAAGCCTCAAAACTTGTATGCCCAAAACTTGAACATCTTTGCTGCTCGTTCTTTCTTCTTCAACGCACGTCCCTGATTTTGTATTTCAGGCAACCTAAACCTCATTTTCTATCACCTTGATCCGCCATTAGAGGAACTCTCCTCAGAAAATGCATCTATCTGCGCTCCAAGAGTTATCCTTTCTCCTCACCAAAGCAGCTCATGACTTTTTTCAAGGAATTCGAAGATGAGATGGTAATTCAATATGGGGATCAAATGGAAGCTGACGGTCCTCCCCAATTTGGTGAAACGAATGCTCCGATCGGACACCGACTTGGATGACCTCCTTGGTAAAGGCCCAATCCTTAAGTGGCAATCAAGGATAGTTTTTGCTCCTTGAGACGATGCTTGGTATCCAAAGAACAGGAAAGCTAAATCTGTCAATTACAGTAAAAGAGCTCGGGCTCTCAAAGCATAAGGATACAGTTCTTGTGTTACCAAAATAATCTGATAGGATTTCGAATACAATGAAGAATGTTTTATCACTTATGGTAACACACTAACACTAACAACAAGAATACAAGATAGTGGAGAATGGAGAAGAAATTTACACTTATGGGCTTGGGCCTAAGGCCTCTAAACTTGTATGCCCAAACTTAAACGTGATTGCGTCTCGTTCTTACCAATCCAATGGACATTAATAATTTATAAATGATAATAATTCATCTTTCCATATACTATAATTTATTTTTTAATTAAAATAAAATGAGGGAAAGAATATCCGTTTTCTTCTTTGCCACAAAACATTTTCCTTTGGGGTTTTTATATTTTTTGGTTCTTCAGCTCCTCAAGCTTCGATAGGTATCGTCTTCACCAATCACCATACTTTGGATTTTTCTGATCATGTTTCAATTCCAATCTGAGAGATATTCTTTGATTCGATATCTAAATAAATCTCTGTAACTATTTTGTTCTAGGGTTTTAGTAATTTCCGATGGCTTCAAGTTCAGAGAAAACAACCCTTCTTCCTTCAGGTATTTGTGTTAATCTCGATTCAATCGTTTTTGTTTATTCGAATCAGATTTGTTTGTTTTTCTTCGAGTTATACAGAGAAATTGTTTTCAACAGATGAGAAAAACGATACAAAGGAAGAGAGTAAGAGTACTAAACCAGAATCAGCCTCAGGAGCTTCACCTTCACCATCACCATCACCGACTGATCCTGGGCTTGATTTCAATGCTTTTGATTTCTCTGGCATGGCTGGTATTCTCAATGTAAGTTCTCTTTTGTGGGTATATGATAATTGAATAGTCAAAGGTTGGATTTTTTTTCTTGTGTTGATGGTTTTGTTTAATCAGGATCCAAGTATCAAGGACTTAGCTGAGCAAATAGCTAAAGATCCTGCTTTTAACCAGTTAGCTGAGCAGCTTCAGAGATCTGTACCAACCGCTTCGCATGAAGGAGGTCTACCTAACTTTGATCCACAACAGTATATGCAGACAATGCAGCAGGTTATGGAGAATCCTGAGTTTAGAACAATGGCTGAGCGTCTTGGTAACGCTTTGGTGCAGGTACTTTAAATACAAGCTCTTTTGGATCCTTTTGTTATTATTAGTTAATCAACACTTGAGGTGTGATTATGGCATTGAATCTCTGTTTGGTTTCATAGGATCCACAAATGTCTCCCTTTTTGGAGGCTCTTGGTAACCCTGCAGCAACAGAGCAGTTTGCGGAGCGTATGGCGCAAATGAAAGAAGATCCGGAATTGAAACCTATACTAGCTGAGATTGATGCTGGTGGTCCTTCTGCTATGATGAAGTATGTCATCATTTGCTATAAATTATTAGGTTTACTTTTGTTTATGGCTAAGAATTGATTACTGGTGTTAGGTACTGGAATGATAAAGATGTGTTGGCAAAGCTGGGTGAAGCAATGGGTATAGCTGTTGGAGCAGACCAGAGTGTTGCAGCTGAACCTGAGGAGGCCGAAGAAGGGGAAGAGGAGGAGTCTATTGTTCACCAGACCGCTAGTCTCGGTGATGTGGAGGTAAACTGATTCATACACTCTTAATCTCTCATGTTTTTGACAGTCTGAATTTTATACTTAATTTGGGATCATTGATCGGGGTTAGCTTTTAAATTCACTGTGCATTGATTTCCTGAACCAATCAGGGTTTGAAAGCTGCCTTGGCATCTGGTGGTAACAAAGATGAAGAAGACTCTGAGGGAAGGACAGCTTTACATTTTGCATGTGGATATGGCGAGGTATGTCAACGTCTTAAAATCAAAAACATGTCGAAATGTCATTCACAGAATCATGGAAAGCAATTTATACTACCAATATTTACTATCATGCACTTGATGGATAAGGAGCTTCGGCTTCACTTAGTAGGTTATTAGACAATTAGCTGTAGCACTGTTTATGAAGGAAGTTGACAATTACCATTAATATATCTGTGATTAGAAGTTGTTATAAAAGCTTAATCGTAAGTTTGAACCCAACTGACCTTGGTTGAGTTTGTATGTAGGTGAAATGTGCGCAAGTTCTTCTGGATGCTGGAGCAAATGTAAATGCGATTGACAAAAACAAGAACACACCATTGCATTATGCTGCTGGTTATGGAAGGAAAGAGTGTGTAAGCCTTCTCCTAGAAAATGGTGCTGCAGTGTAAGTTTGCAACAACAAGAACACAAATTTGATTTCCAAACAACTTGATAATGGTTCTATATGACTCTTAAACGTGTTGTTTCATTGTGTGTTTGCAGAACTCTACAAAACATGGACAGTAAAAATCCCATTGATGTGGCCAAGCTAAACAATCAGCTAGATGTGGTGAAACTACTTGAGAAGGACGCTTTCCTCTGAGCTGCTTTGACTCTTGAAGGATATGTTTCTTCTGTGTCCTGTAATAGTGTCACAGAGTCTGATTGCAACCTTGTCTTCTGTAGGTTTTTTTTCATCATTACATCTGAAAAGAAAAATGGAGAAAATGGATGTTTATTATGGTTTTGTAATGAATTAATATTTTCTTCTTGAATTGGTTCTCTCTTTTGCTCTTGATGTCTTTTTTATTTTCCTTGTTTATGTGTCACATGGATTAGTTTAGCAATCACAAAACATAACCTTAAACATATTAGAGAAGGGATAGAATAATCTGTTTAAATAAGATAATTTGGACAATTTTAACACGGAAACCTTAAATTAGAATGAAAAGTAAGAAGCCTATAGAGGATAGTGATATTGATAGATGAGATGTCGACATAAATAATGCAGAATGCGAAGTCGATAGAATAATAATGGAACTATAAAATGCAAAAGCGAATTCAAGAACGACAGAGATAATTGAAGGTCCAAGTTTCTCCTCTTACCCTTACTTTTTCCTTTTACAAGAAAATCTCAAAATTAAACAAACATTGTTGTTACTTCTTCAATTTTATAGTAGTATATGAACACAAATTAAAAGAAGAAAAAAAAGACATCTTAATTTTATGAAATGTATGTACAACATTATATCTTGCATCTTGGAACTTTCCCACCCGTAGACGCTGTTGTGGCAAAAAAAAAAAACCGGATTTCTATGGACTTTGATGATTAGTCTGGATTTGGTCTAAAATTCTCATGGTTAACAAAATAAAGTATACAGCGTTATAATTTAATCATGCTAGCAAATGAAAAGAGTAAGCAAAATTTTTGTTGTTGTCTCTTCTCAGGATTGAATGTTCAAGTTTCTCTCTTATTACACTTACTTTTTTTTTCTCTTGAACTTGAAAGTATTATTAAAAATACATTACAAGAAAATCTCATATTTGAAACAAAGTAACGAACATTGTTACTTTAATTTAACAATAGTAAAATCATCAACAAAATTTTGATTTTCTAAAATGGATATACAACATTAATCTTACACCTCAAAACTTATCTATCTAAAGATTCCAAAGATTAGTTTAGGTTTCGGCCTGGAATTCTCCTGGTTAGCAAAAGAAAAAATGTAAAAATAAAAAAAGCCTGCAAAAAGTTCATTATTCTTCGGAAAATTCTTTCAAAAAAATTTCAACATTTTTTTTCTTGGTGTGCAGTATCACATATGCACACTTAACAGAATTTGCACTTGGATACTATTAGACTATTGTCTATTAGTAATAATGTACTAATTAATGTGTACACAAAAAAAAAACTTTATAAAAATCGGTATTTTGAAAGAAATTTTTAACTTTTAAAAATAAAACGATTTTACAAAAAAAAAAAGGCATTCTTTGGAAAAATAATACTAGTTTCCCCAAAAGAATGTTAAATAAAAAAATACAAGAGGAAAATTCAAAATTTATTCCGACAAAATCTGATACGCGTGAAAATGAAATAGTGAGTAGATCGGGCCAAGATTAGGTCAAAAAGCCCGTGAGCCCAAAAAACCCGGTTCAAATCGCAAACCCTCGATTTCATTTCTTCAATTCGATCGCTGGGTACAATTTTGAGGACGACGAAAGAGCAAAGAGTGTGTTTCAGTCACTGCTTAAGGAGCTCGGACAAAAAACTCATCCCCTTGTCGTCTCCTTTTCTACTTCTTCTTCTTCTTCACCAAGGTGCGTTTTCGCTTTCAACGCCGTTTGGTTTTATTAGAATTTGGAATCTGTTTGCTTTTTTTTTTTTTTTAAGTTATAAATTGAATCCGGAATTTGCGACTTTGTTGCTTCGTTTGTAAATCGTATTCTTCTGTTTAGAAATCTTGAATTGGCGGTGTAATAGAAAGAATTTCAATCTCAATTTCAATGCCTCTTGTTCACCTTCCTGGAGTTTTTGTAGGAAGGAATTATTAGGCTTTTTGCTTGTACTGTTAATGAATTTCAAGAAATGGGTTTCTGATTTGGTCGAAAGGAGCTTCTGGGTTTAAAGAACATGAGATAAAGTGTTAATCTTTTTTACTGGATTCTTTCACAAATAAAAAGGTTTTTGCTTTCATTTGTGTGTGTGTTGTGGTTGTTTGAGTCTGGTGAAAGTTAGTTGGTAATCAAGTTTTATTGATCTATTACAATCTAGAACACATAACTAAACCCTAAGAAAGAACTACCTATCTTGGAGATTTGGTGAAAAGATCTCTTTAACTCTCCCAAAGTCCTATGGCTTCCTCACAACCAATAATCAAAAGACCTTTAATTTGTACTCTATCTATCACATACTTTTGTCTAATTTGTGAACCCTGTGGTTATTTTATTTGTTTTCTGCAATTCCTAATTGATTTATGTATTTCTTGTATGCGTGAATTTGTATAGGAATGCTGTTTAAATGGAATCAACAATGGAGAATTTGACGGAGATGGAATCAGCGATGGAGAATTTAATGGAAATGGAGAGTGAGAGAGTTGAACAGGGCACCGATAAGGAAATTGAAAGTGGAGAGCAGAGGCAGGATGATGTAAACGAAACGGAGAATGAGAATCCAGGAGAGACAGTGGGAGAGGAAGCTCCTGTCAGGGAACATGAAGATTCTCCATGTCCCATGGTCATTGAAGAAGGTACTTCTCTAGCTTCCCTTGAGGGTGGGACCAATGCTGATGATCTGCCGAAGATTGATGAGGAAACCCTTGATGAGAAGAATTCCCAATTAGAAACAAGCCCTTCTCCTTCAGTAGCTTTAGACACTGACGAAGGGTTAATCAACCCTACTGTGGAAGACACTGTAGAACAGAACACAGGGTCTAGCGAATTAAGTTCGGATATCTTGAAAGATGACGGAGATGCTGTCAAGGTTGACAGATATACTGCAGTAGTCCATGAAGAAACGGCCAAAGTACCTGACTTCAAACTCTCGGAGGAGGAAACAGGATCACCGCATCATCATGCTAATATTGTGATGGAGCAGGAAAAAGCTGCAGAAGAACATGACATGATGGCCTCAGGAGACCATGACGAATTTCCAGTCAATCCTGATAACAAACACTCGGAAGAAAAAGGAACATTGCATCATCATGCTAATACTGTGATGGAGCAGGACCAAGCTGCAGAAGAACATGAGATCATATCCTCAGGAGACCAGGAGGAGTTTCCAGCGAATTCTGATACCAAAGTTGTTGAGGAGAACAATGATAGTATGGATGAGGGTGAGGCTAACAATATGAATTTGGCTGGCGATGGAAGTGGACCAGACGACCATGATCGTGGGACCATAACAGAGCTTGACAAAGGGCTTGAGGTGCCTGGTTCTGAGACCATATCAGAACTGGAGGATAAGCCATCTGAGCCTCTCTCCGAAACCTCAATGAACGTGGAAAAAGAACTAGGCATGCCTGCCACTGAAAATTTGACAGACAATGACAAAAGCTCTGATGTGTTGGCAGTTGGAGTTTCAGGCGACAGTGACAAAGGGTTATCTGTCTTGCCCGCCACCCAAACTTCCTCTGATCATGATGAAGGAATGACTACAGTTGATGCTGAACCTACGGAAGACATGAAACTTGATGTTCCAGATTCTAAATTGGTTGCTGATACTACTGTTGACTCGACTAATAACAAGGATGCCAATGTTGAGGCTAATACTGAAAAGCAAGATAATTCTAGTGCACTTGTGCTAAATGATGCAAATGATAAAAGTGCACCAGTGAGACGTGAACCCGGTCCTCCTTGTGTTGCATCTTCTAATATAAAGTCTGAAGCGCGGGGTAGTGGAGATTTGAACAATGGAGTCCATAAAATAGTTCGGACACCACCTGTCTTTGATGGGACCATGCGCGCAAAGCGCTCTTTCCTCTTGGATGATGCGTCTGACGGTAATGAATCTGGAACGGAAGAGGACCAATCTGCTTTTATGAAAGAATTGGATTGTTTTTTTAGAGAGCGAAACATGGACTTCAAACCTCCAAAATTTTATGGGGAGGGACTGAACTGCCTCAAGTAAGCTTGCTACCCATCATTATTTGGTCACTTTAGTGTGTTATACATTGTAAAAATTTCAGCAGGAGCTGATATCTAATCAATTTCTTTGGCACAAGGTTGTGGAGAGCTGTAACTAGATTGGGCGGATATGACAAGGTACGGGTCACTGTGAATACGTCGGATGAATATCACAGCATCTTTTCATCTTTTCTTCCATCCTGGCTTACTTGCATGCAGACTGTTGTTCATGATCTAGCAGTGGTGCTTTTGGTGATTCTCTATGATTAATATATGTGATTCTCTATGATTAATATATGCTTTTATACTGGATAGGTTACTGGAAGCAAATTATGGCGGCAAGTGGGAGAATCTTTCAGGCCCCCAAAGTAAGAAGAATGCTTTTCTTATTAGTAGTTTGTCTTAGAAATTTTGGAAATCATGTGTATATTTTCAAGAATTACCCTCTAATTGGTCAATTGTTTGTTCAGGACATGTACAACAGTATCATGGACTTTCCGAGGTTTCTATGAAAAGGTGAGATTATATTCACCACCTTTTCCACTCTCTGCATCAATCCTTCTGAGAAATAATTTAAATGATTGAACAGAGAACAACTGTGAATCATCTTGAGATATGTTTTCCTTTAGATACAGTAACATTATAGTTTCTTCATTTTTCAGGCTCTTCTTGAATATGAGCGGCATAAAGTTAGTGGAGGTGAACTTCAGATACCCCTTCCGTTGGAACTAGAGCCAATGAACATTGATAATCAGGTAAAATTGAGAAAATTATATCATGCATCTGTAGGTTTTGTTTGATCTTCTTCTTATGATTAATGTCGGTGTTTTAACTTAACCCGCTGCCTTGTTTCTACACTAGGCGTCTGGATCAGGGAGGGCTAGGAGAGATGCAGCAGCACGTGCTATGCAAGGTTGGCATTCACAGCGTCTTAATGGTAACGGTGAAGTTAGTGACCCTGCAATCAAGGTCCGGTAGAATCTTGTTATATTTTTCATTTTACATTCACTCTATATCTCTTCTTTTTTTTTTTGGTCAAACATTCATTCTATATCTCGTAGTCTGAAGGAACATGCTGTTTTGTAATTGGTAGGATAAGAACTTAGTTATTCATCAAAAGCGCGAAAAACAGATTGGAACCACCCCTGGTATGAGTTCTGTTTGATGAAGAAGTGGTTGTTCTCATTGTTATTTTTGAATTTGAAATGAGTTATATTACTTACATCTCGCAATGTCAGCAGGTTTGCTCAAACGCAAGAGGCCAGCTGAACATGGTGCAAAAAATGCCATCCAAGTATCTAAACCTATGTACGGTTTTTAGCTTTGTGGTCTGGTTTTCGATGGGTGATAATTCACGTTTGAATTCTGATTCCAGTTGTTGTTTTTCCTAGGTTGGATGTTACAGTTGTTGATGTTGGACCACCAGCTGACTGGGTGAAGATTAACGTACAGAGGACGGTAAAATCAATCGTTACTTCCTTAAAAACCTGAGCAATCACTTTCTGGTTTTACATGTTTTAATAATCTCCTCCACTATCTGCAGCAAGATTGCTTTGAGGTGTATGCATTAGTCCCAGGACTAGTCCGTGAAGAGGTTAGCTCGCAAATTTGAAACTACTCGTTTTGTTTACATATAGATCCTAAGATTGAGTTTAGCACTCAGTTTTTGTCTTGGCAACAATAATACAGGTCCGAGTCCAATCAGATCCAGCTGGGCGGTTGGTAATAAGTGGCGAACCCGAGAACCCTATGAATCCCTGGGGAGCGACTCCTTTCAAAAAGGTAATGCTTGTTACGCGATTTTGCTATTTATACATAGAATAAGTTTATTAACATTTATAAACCTCCATTGGAACTGCAGGTGGTAAGTTTGCCGACGAGAATTGATCCACATCACACATCGGCTGTGGTAACCCTAAACGGGCAGTTATTCGTCCGTGTGCCTCTCGAGCAATTGGATTAGAAACATTTACAGTTTAACAAAGCCTTTTGAAGATCTGAAAGAGAGAAGATTGTTAGAAGTAGTTGTTGAGAGTATTTTGTCTGTATATTATGAGAGCATAAACACAACCTGAGAAGAGCCTTTAGGAATCCTTAATTAGGCCATCTAGTTTTTATGGTCTCTCCCCTCTTTGATTAGATTCTTCTTCTAAGTGTCATCACTATTGATTTGTTGTAGCACCAACATCTTTTAAAACTTCTTATTAAGAACACACAAATCTACAAACCTTTTTTTTTTTTTATTGTTTATCAGTGTGATTTGATTTCTGTGGCAGTCAATTTTTTATATTATCTTGCATGTTAGTTCAAGATTGCATCTCAATTTGTACTTCTTTTTTTTTGTTTTCAATTTGTACTTATCTTAGTGGTAATTAGAAAAACAAAATTAGGCTAAAATAGCTTTTTTGTTTGTTTAGGTGTTAGGGATATGGTTTATTTATCAAAGTTTATTATTTAGGATTTAGAGTTTACGATTCCAAATTCTTATGGTTTATAATTTATACTCTCGGATTTGAAATTTAGGTTATTTTTTTTTTAAATGTAGTTAATTTTTAAAAATTTAGAATATTTTTCTAATTTTGCTTTAAATTTTAGACTAAATAATTAATTCAGCCTTCTAATCCACTGTTTTAATATTCAAAGTGATTCTAATCTTGTAACTATTAATATTCCAATCTTTAACAACAAAGAAAACTATTAATATTCCAAAGCATGCATATAATAATGGTCCAATAATAATTTTGCAATATGGGCTTTAATTCATAAAATATTAAAAGAGAAAAGTAAATTCAAATAAAGTGGTCTATATTTCAAATTAATGTGTAACATGTGTTGGATCTCAATGAGCCAGTCAAGATTCATAATAAAGTCTTTATTAAGCGCAGCTGGAGGTTTCTTACTTGGATCTGCTCTCTCAAATCCGCCGTCTCTAGCCACCGCGTTTTCTTCTTCCTCCTCCGCTTCCTCCTCCGCTACCGCCGCCGTCAATATGGAAACTCACAAAACCAAGGTTTGCATCGTCGGAAGTGGTCCAGCAGCACACACGGCGGCGATCTATGCATCTAGAGCGGAGCTTAAGCCTCTTCTCTTCGAAGGATGGATGGCTAACGATATCGCTCCCGGCGGTCAATTAACGACAACCACCGACGTCGAGAACTTCCCTGGATTCCCTGAAGGTATCCTCGGTGCTGAGATCGTTGAGAAATTCAGAAAACAATCGGAGAGATTTGGTACGAAGATCTTCACGGAAACTGTTAACAAAGTTGATTTCTCATCGAAACCGTTTAAGCTATTCACTGATTCGAGAACTGTTCTCGCTGATTCTGTAATCATTTCTACTGGAGCTGTTGCTAAACGTCTTAGCTTCACTGGATCTGGTGAAGGTAACGGTGGTTTTTGGAATCGTGGTATCTCCGCTTGTGCTGTTTGCGACGGAGCTGCTCCGATTTTTAGGAATAAGCCTTTGGTTGTTATTGGTGGTGGTGATTCGGCTATGGAGGAAGCGAATTTTCTGACTAAGTATGGATCTAAGGTTTATATAATCCATAGAAGGGATACGTTTAGGGCGTCTAAGATTATGCAGCAGAGAGCTTTGTCTAACCCTAAGATTGAAGTTATTTGGAACTCTGCGGTGGTGGAGGCGTTTGGAGATGAGAATGGCAAAGGTGTTCTTGGAGGATTGAAGGTGAAGAATGTTGTTACTGGAGAGGTTTCAGATTTGAAGGTTTCTGGATTGTTCTTTGCTATTGGTCATGAGCCAGCTACGAAGTTTTTGGATGGGCAGCTTGAGCTTGATGAAGATGGTTATGTTGTGACTAAGCCTGGTACTACAAAGACGAGTGTGGTTGGTGTATTCGCTGCTGGAGATGTTCAAGACAAGAAGTATAGACAGGCTATCACTGCTGCAGGAACTGGTTCGTTCTCTAACTTGGGTTTTTATATTTTTGCAAAATGAGTTAGCTCTTTGAAATCATGATAGGAATCTATCATGGAGTATCTCATATGTGCTTGTTGCCTAATAGCATAATGTAGTTAGGTATATTGTTAAGTGAATAGTTGTTTATCTGTTTATGATAATTGTTTGATTGATCTGTCAAGAGGAGTCAGGTCCTTGAAAGTCGTTATCTTTTTATGATGAAGTCCTTTCATTTTCTCAAAGTGACTGGCTTTGTATATCATATGATTCTCTTAACAAAATTGTTGAGGCATGCTTTTGTTGGATTTGTGTTTGCTATAGAATGCTTTTGTGTTTTGTCTGTTCACGAGGAGTCAGGTTTTTGAAAGTCATTGGCTTCTTAGGATGGAACCCTTTCATGTTCTTGATTCTTGAAATCCTTGTTTTGTATATCATTTGATTCATTTTACAAAAGTAGTTGAGGCATGCTTTTGGTTGGATATGTGTTTGCTGTAGAGGGGTCTTGTGTTGTGCCTTTGTTTGCGGTTAAAGGCTATCTACGTTCCCATTCTCAATACTCTTTAGAAGACTAGTAGTGGTCATAACTAAGTAGATGTCTTGATAGCCTACAAGGGAAATTAAACTGTTTCAAGTGTCGTTATAAGATCTGTTACCTAAATGTTCTCTTTGTTACGATGAAAAAGCCTGACATATTTAGCTATTTACATTTTACACGGCATGGTCTGTGTGGTTTTTGAACTCTGCTGATAAATAAAGCTGAGTAATCATATTGTTCTCGCCAGTCTAGACTCTAAAGTGATTTCGTGTTTACTTGAAATGTTTCTCATCTCTTTTTTTGGTTTCATGAATCAAAAATTCAACTTTTATAAATAACATTATGGATGGTGCAGGGTGCATGGCGGCTTTGGACGCAGAGCATTACTTACAAGAGATTGGATCTCAGGAGGGTAAGAGTGATTAGAGAAGCTGTAGGAGAAGGATCCATTCATTATAAATTGCTCTCTCTCCCCTTATTTGCTTTGTCATTTTTAAAACCAATAAAGAACCAGATTGATCTCATAAAGACAAATCTGAATAGAATTTTGTTATTTGCAGTTGGATTTTGTGCCAAGTTGTAAACTCTTTAGTTGTCACAGCTTCCACCAAATTCATCTTTTAAGATTTGTTCCTCAGGTGAGAGGACTTTTATATTTTTCATTCTCTTTTAATTTGATTATGTAATCACAATTTAAATTGAACTAGGGGTTACTCCGGGCTACGCCCGGACATATCTTTGATATTTGACATTTGCCTTCATGGCATCAACAACTTCACCCAATTAAGGAGCCGTTACAGAGCAATACAGCTAAAATATTTACTGGTTATAAACAAACAAAACGTCAACCAAAACACAAAGTTCATATCGGATATGACAACATAGAAGACCAAAGGAAATTGTATCATGCTGATTAAGATTTGAGATAACATAAGAAACGCATATAAAGAAGAAAAAAAAAGATTCATGATAGAGAAATTCAACTACTACTAAAAATAACATCAATGTGAATTCAATTCAAGAATAGTAACAGACAAACAATTTACCTATCCCGATGGTTCTAGAATTTGTTGGAAATTGATATTCCTTCGACTCATCTGTTTCTCACAGCTACATATAGGTGACATAAATAAGTATGAGATGACCCTATTAAAAGAGAGAACTGTAATATTAATATGTTTAGCGAGAAGAACTCTAGAATGAAACTCTAGTCTTCCACAACATCCATAAGACTCACACAATTAATAGAAATTTTCAAGAATACAAAAATCAGGTGTCACATCATTTTAAAATAGCTTCATTATATTTTTATCCAACAATAAGAACCTTCCAGCAAAATCTTGAAATAGTAAAAATCTCTAAATACGGTTCTTTGTTCCTTTCTTATTTTAATTTTATTGCTGGATTGGTAAGGATTTTCTAAAACTTCGTAAAAGAAAATGGTCCATTTAACAAATGATATGAATATATGATACATTCAAATGAGAACAAAAGTTTAGGTGATGATACCTTCACGACTCGACCTTTCTCGCATTTACTTCTAAAGATCTCCCTCGAGCGCTTCCTTTCTCTGGCAAATCGAAGACCAAGGTGGAGGCACTCTTGCGCAAACTTATATTCGCACAAAGACAAAGTCTCACCGAGCCATGTCTTTACCACACCAAAGCAACAATGTCGTGAAAGTACAAATTAAGTCATCACTGCCTCCGTAAGATTTTGTCGTTTGACTTCCCCTCTTCAAGTATTATATTGTCACTCATTTTCTGTGGTATCTTCTCTGACGTTTCCTCTCTAATACCAAAATGGTCCATCTATCGAGCGCAAATAATCGATCTTGAATGACCACAACCCTAAAGCATCTTTTGAACTTGTCAATTTTAACCTATGGCTATGGATCATCTCAAAAGATAAGAACAGTCTAAAATAAGGGCTTATGGTTGACGGATTTTACTTTGTCAAACGGCCTATGGGTAATTATATAACTTTGCTCGTTATATAAATGGAAGAAGAAGCGATTCGGTTTTTTAGATTGTTAAGAAATCGTAATGGAAACCCATTCAGATTTTTAGAGTAAATAAACGTTTGTTTTAAGTTTTAAGAATCAATTAGTTGACATGGCATTTATATAAGAGAATTAGCTGATGTGGCATCATATCTGAAAATAATTCCGTAAATGAGTTTCTTAATTTACTAAGCTTGCTGACATGGCAGCTTAAGAGAGAAAGTTATAAAGCTGATGTGGATAGGTTGAGAGGCCTCAAACTATTCCTTTTATTAGTAAGAGATTTGAATCTATGGATTGGAGTTTCTAGAGCTCAAGAAAATTATGAAACATTGGTTACTTCTTGACATTGTCCTAATAATCAAAAAAATGTACGACTAGCAGTTTCACTCGCTTGTGTTTTTGCAAATATGTACTAGTCAAATGTTCTTCATATGTAATTAATTTTGCTAATGTAACTTCTATTGATTAAATGAGATGAGTTACAAAACTGAACTACACTCATTTTTGTCAACACTCAAGTACTACACCATATGAATGACCAGTGGTTTTAATGAATCTTTTATCTCATAAGTCAAACGAAAACCAAATTCTTTATCTAATACTTACGTTATAACACTTAGTAATTAAAGAAACACTAACATAAGTTTGATTCTCTACGTTAGTATTTTCTTTGTTTCCTACCTCTGCCTTCCTTCACTCATGATCACAAGAAGCAGATGTCGAAGATCTTTGTTATGGTTTTTGGTGTTCCACGGCGGAGCTACAGCTACCGGAGCTCCCTCTGGCGGGAAACAGCTCTCTCAGACGCCCACTTGGGCGGTCGCAGTAGTCTGCACCTTCCTCATCCTCATTTCCCATCTCCTTGAAAAGGGTCTTCAAAGACTCGCTAACGTCTGCTTTCTTCTTCTTCTTTCTTTTCTTACAAGTGTTCTTGTTCAAAACATTCATTGTCTGAAACATCTTTAATTGTTTCTTCTCAGTGGCTATGGAAGAAGCATAAAAACTCTCTTCTTGAAGCCTTGGAGAAAATCAAAGCCGGTAAAGTAAACATATATAGCCTTCATTGTCTTAAAGTTTTTTTTAATTTGTTTTTTTTTTGAAATGGTGATTGATTCTACAGAGCTGATGATCCTTGGATTCATTTCCTTATTACTCACTTTTGGAGAAACATATATTCTCAAGATCTGTGTTTCTCGAAAGGCTGCTCTCTCTATGTTACCTTGTTCATCTGAAGACACAGAGCTTTTCCAGAAACTTGCTCCATCTCTTAGCAGACATCTTTTGGCTGCTGGTGATATATCTGTGAATTGCAAACAAGGATCTGAGCCACTTATAACGTTGGAAGGCTTGCACCAACTTCACATCTTATTGTTCTTCTTGGCGCTTTTTCATGTCCTCTATAGTTTAATCACTATGATGCTTAGCAGGCTCAAGGTACCATAAATTCTAGTTCTGATCAAAAATCTGTTTGATAGAATGAACAAATGCTTCATTTTGTATTGGCTTTGTGGCAGATTCGTGGATGGAAAAAGTGGGAGCAAGAGACATTATCTCATGACTATGAGTTTTCTATTGGTACTTTGTTCATCAGATTTTGTTTTGAAGCCCTCAAGTTTTATTCTTTTAAAAGACTCACTTTTCTTTGTGGTGTAGATCATTCAAGACTTAGGCTCACTCATGAGACTTCTTTTGTGAGAGAACATACAAGTTTCTGGACAACAATTCCTTTCTTCTTTTACGTCGTAAAGAAACCATTTATTTCCTTCTTCATCTCTTCCAAATGCATCAAAACGTTCTTGATTTGATTTATTCTATGCTCTTTGGTTACAGGGATGCTTCTTTAGGCAGTTCTTTGTATCCGTTGAAAGAACAGACTACTTGACTCTGCGCCACGGATTCATCTCTGTGAGTTTTATAATCTTGCATCTTTCCATTTCCTTCTCTCACAATCTTGATATGTGATTCTAATAGTGTTCTGATTCAGGCCCATTTAGCCCCGGGAAGAAAGTTCAACTTCCAGAGATATATCAAAAGATCACTCGAGGACGATTTCAAGTTGGTAGTTGGAATAAGGTTACAACACAATCAAATAATCAAATGCAAACGAATCCGGGCTTATATAACGGTCTTTTTAACATATTGTTTGCTCTGCAGTCCAGTTCTTTGGGCATCATTTGTGATCTTCTTGCTGTTTAATGTTAATGGTGAGTTATATAACTATCTTTAATCTTAAATTCAATTCATATACTGAGATCTTTCTATTCAACTTTCAGGCTGGAGAACACTGTTTTGGGCATCGATACCTCCCCTGCTAGTAAGACAATCTATCTATCTCTTATATACACAGCTTCTTCGAAGTTTCTTGATGAACAAGAAGTCTTGTTGCAGATAATCCTAGCTGTTGGAACAAAGCTTCAAGCGATTATGGCAACAATGGCGCTAGAAATCGCAGAAACACATGCAATAGTTCAGGGGATGCCTCTAGTGCAAGGTTCAGATCGATACTTTTGGTTCGATTGTCCTCAACTACTTCTCCATCTTATCCACTTTGCCTTATTTCAGGTAATAACACTATGAAAACATCTTCTGCTTGATTTCATCTTGAACTAACATGTTTTTAAAGATTCTGTCTTCTTCTAATAATGTTTCTCTCTAACTAGTAATTTATCTCCTCTCTGTGTTATACAGAATGCTTTCCAGATAACACACTTCTTCTGGATATGGGTACAAAAACAAAGAAACATCTCTTCTTAGGTTATTTTGGAATATCATTACTTAATAACATATAAATATTTGGCATTTGCAGTATTCTTTTGGATTAAAATCATGCTTCCATAAAGATTTCAATCTTGTAGTCATCAAACTCTTTCTATGGTAAAAAGCTTATTCAAAACCTTACTTATTCTAATTATTATGAGGACAAAGTATTAAAAAATGTAAGGATGTATGTATGTATGTGCAGCTTAGGAGCTTTGATCTTATGCAGCTACATCACTCTCCCGTTGTACGCCCTCGTTACTCAGGTAATTAACTTGTATACAACAGTTTCGATCGATATTTCAGCCAAATGGTCTCTTGAAGGAAAGAAAATAGAGAAATGATGAAATGGTGTGTGGAGCAGATGGGTTCACACATGAAGAAAGCAGTGTTTGATGAGCAAATGGCAAAGGCATTGAAGAAGTGGCACAAAGACATCAAACTGAAGAAAGGCAAAGCGAGGAAGCTCCCGAGCAAGACACTTGGTGTTTCAGAGAGTTTCAGCCTCTCTTCCTCTTCCTATGCAACCACTCTTCACCGTTCCAAGACCACTGGTCACTCTTCTAACATCATATACTACAAACAAGAAGATGAAGAAGACGAAATGTCTGATCTTGAAGCTGGAGCAGAGGATGCTATTGACAGGATTCAACAACAGCAAATGCAATTCCACCACTCTTAGCTGTTTTCTTCTGTTGTTACTTCAAAGTTCAAATGAAACGATGCTGTTTACTAACTACTTAGTCATAAAACAATTGTCGCGGGAAAAAGTAGTATATGTTCTTTTAAAACCTCTTGTTGTGTACAATTTCCCTTAACTTAACTAGGTTATAAGACTCCGCGAGGAAAACTCATTTTTAACAAAATATTATATAGAAATTATTTGTTTGATTGTATTTATGTATTAAATTATTGATTCACACAAAAGCCAATGTTGAAAAATATTGTTTACATAAGTGATAATATGCGGTTAGGTACGAACATTTCGTGTCTAATTTAGATGATAATAAACAGTTATATATATATATAAAACTTACAATAAATAAATGTATGTAAAACTATGCGAGAAAACTGTTGTAAAATACTATATGTAAAAGATTACAAAAGGAATTGTTACGATAAAGAGCGGGATCCTCCAAACCATCTTTGAGATTGTTCGTGAAAGATGCAATCTTTTGTAATAGACAGTCAAAAGACACAACTCACAACTTATCAAAACAAAGATTATGATTAAAAAACAAAACAAACAATTTTAAAAATATGCAACTCAACTTATATATTGAAAAAAAGAGTTACGATGAAAAAAAAATTAAAAAAAATGTGCAACTCAAAAGATGCATTTCACCTTTGCCTTTACCCATTTTGTGTTTATATATATAGTAACGGGTCGGGTCAAACCCAACTTGGCTTTGTGTGCAACAACCGTCTACGGAGAGGAGGAAGGAAGGTAGATAGCATTATTTACAGGAATGCCCTTCATGGATTGCTAGAAATGGAATGTTCGTTTTATATCGATGTTGGTAAATGTGAGGTTGGTATTCACCTATGATAAGATGATATATTTATGAAACTGTGCAAAACGTAGATTGAAAAATACTTTAGATTGAAAACATTATGTTAAAGAAACAAAAGTTTTCTAAAACACTTTTTAGGATTGTTAAAAAAATATACGTTAAAAATATACAACCCTTGTAAGTGAAAAATTATCCTAAATGTTTGACCTCCTTGAATGAATCGAAACATCGAGAATTTATGGTCGAAAGTATATGTGGAGAAGATAAGATTAGAAAGCCAAGTTTAAAGCATCAAAGATGAGGAGAAAATGTAGTTATTCATTTAATGTTTATAAGGAAAAATGTGAAGATAGTAAGCCTGTTTTTCATCATATGGAGCCATGGAGGTGTTGTTGAATGCACATAGTGGTGCAAGTTTAAATATTAATTTGCTAGTATGTTAGATTATATTCGTATGTATAGTTTCATGATAGTTTGAAATAGCCTTTGACAAGTTTTTACCTCATGAATCTTTGATATTGTTTTCTATTTTTCTTGTCATACTGTGCTTGTCTCTAACATGTTGAAACTCGATTTTAAATGTCACTATGATAGTGTACAGTTTTTTTTTTTTTTTTTGTATTTTTATTTTGTTGAATGTTAAATTTATTGAGCCAAGTAACGAAAAAGAAATTATGTACAGAAGGAACAAAGACGGAAACTCTAACACGATACAAAATGATAGTGTAGTGTACAGTTTAAGATGGTGAGTTTATTAAAATTGTTTATGTTTTATCTTATGTATATTTTCCATTACCTCGTGTTTAACAAAATTATGAACATTAGCATAAAAATTTTATTAGTAGATATTATTGTATCTTATATTTCTAAAATCTTATGTTTTTATTGGTAGATTTTTGTTGAAATTTTTTTCACATTTAACTTGTTTTTTTGAAGTAGTTTGTTTATTTTTTCCCAAGAAAAAATCATTCATTAGTTCAAAGACTTTAAATTTGATGTCTTTATCGCTTGAGGAAGAATTGGTGTGCGGTCGAAAATTCGACACCACCAACTTTATGAGCCGATTATAGATTGTAAAGTGCCGATAGATTTCTTTCTTGTTAATGGACTTAAGTATACAAAATGCGATACGACCAACTCAACAATCTTCTGCCTCATGGATTGAACAAAAGGTGATATGATCAAACACGAATTGACGACGGACGCTTACTTTCTCGTTTTGTAACATCTTTGCAAGACTTTGGTCCAACCTCATTAGAGTTAATATAATATAAGTATAAATTTATAAAATAAAAATAAAATAATCCTCGCACTACATGATCATGTTTTCTTTTCTCCATTTTTATATAATCCATATTTAATACTTAATTATTGTTTACGTTCAATCCTCTTGACATAAACAAAATTATCACTAACATAAACAGAAAACGACACGAGAGATAGAGATAGTGACTAATAAAATAATATATATTTTGAATTATTTTAATTGATTATTTTATGCAGTTTGAGAGAAAGAGACGACGAAGAAGAAAGAAGAAAAGAACTGACGAAGAAAGAATGAGAAGACGAAGAAGAAAGATAAAACAAACAAAAAAGATCCAATCTTTGACAGACAAATTATGGAAACATGAATATTTTTCACAATCTTCTTCTTTCTTCTCCTTCCATCTCTCATTCCTGAGCAAGATTGTGTAGATTGGTGAATTTGGTTTCTGTAGAAAATGGGTTCGAAGGAGATGGTTGTGGAAGAACTCATGAGAATTCATAGATCTCTTCCATCTAGACCAGAGATCGAAGATGTAGAAACCGCAACGTCTCTGATACAGAACGTTGAAAAAGAAGATCGGAATCGTTTGGAAGCCATTGATAAACAGATGATTAAACCTTCCTCTGATGTTCCTAAAGAGCTTTTCAATGTGTTGAAGGAGATGAAGAAAAGTCTTGTGAATTTCCAAAGCAAAGAACAGAGAAGAGAAGCTACGAAAATTCTCGATCTGGAATCTGTACACGTTGTGTTCGACGAATTGATTCAGAGAGCTTCTTTTTGCATTGCTTCTCCTAACGGCACCAGTACCACCTCTCTGCCTCGGTCTGTTCCGGCACAAGAACCGGTTGTTTCTTCTGATGAGATTCTTGTGAAGTCAAAGGAAATCATCTCGCGTGATGATACGTTTGTGAAGAAAGCTAAATCTTCGTTTTATAGTGATGGGTTGTTAGCTCCTCGTAAGCCTCAGGTTTTGGATTCAACATTTCATCAGGCTAAGAACGTCACAGGTGAGTTCCATTGAAATGTCTTTGCTTTCCAATGGAATCATCATTATATGTGTAGTAGGCCATCAAATGTTTTGACTTTTGGATAGAATCTGATGTTTTAAAGATTCATAGTGTTTTCATGTTGATTAGTTTGCTTTTGCCTATGGAATTTTATAACTGTAGTGGAATCATTATATGGGTAGGCCATGGAAAAAGTGTTTGGACTTGAAATGTTTTTAACTTTTTGATAGAATCTGAGGTTAAGATTCATATAGTGTTTTCAGGTGGTTAGTTTGCTTTTCTAAGTGCATTGGAATCATTATATGTGTAGGCCATGTAAGTTTTGGACTTTTTGATAGAATATAAGCTTAAGATTCAGATGTGTTAGATTGTTTTCCAATGGAGTCTATTTGTCTCTAATTGCATTGTAATCATTATGTGTAGGCCATGATGGGGAGAAGTTGAGTCTCATAAAACTTGCTAGTTTGATTGAAGTATCGGCCAATAAAGCTACTCCGGAGCTAAATCTGCAGCACAAGCTGATGGATCAGCTCGAATGGCTTCCGGATTCTTTAGGCAAGTTATCGAGTCTTGTTAGGCTTGATTTGTCTGAGAATTGTATTATGGTACTACCGGCAACCATAGGAGGGCTTTTGTCCTTGACGAAGCTTGATTTGCATTCGAATAGAATTGGTCAGCTCCCTGAGTCTATAGGAGATTTGCTCAACTTGGTCAACCTGAATCTTAGTGGAAACCAATTATCATCTCTTCCATCATCATTTAGTAGATTGATACATCTCGAGGAACTTGATTTGAGCTCTAACAGCCTCACCGTTCTCCCGGAATCTATCGGTTCTCTCGTGAGCCTAAAGAAGCTTGATGTTGAAACAAATAACATAGAAGAGATTCCGCATAGTATCTCTGGCTGTTCTTTCCTGAAAGAACTTCGTGCAGATTACAACCGGCTTAAAGCTCTTCCAGAAGCTGTTGGGAAGTTATCTACCTTAGAGATTCTGACTGTCCGTTACAATAACATTCGGCAGCTACCCACAACAATGTCCTCCATGGCTAACCTCAAAGAGCTAGATGTGAGTTTCAACGAGCTTGAGTCAGTACCAGAGAGCTTATGTTATGCCAAAACACTTGTTAAACTTAACATTGGGAACAATTTTGCCAACCTGAGATCACTCCCGGGGTTAATAGGCAACCTTGAGAAACTAGAAGAGCTTGATATGAGCAATAACCAGATCCGTTTCCTTCCTTACTCTTTCAAAACGCTTTCACAGCTGCGTGTTCTTCACACACAGCAAAATCCACTTGAAGAGCTTCCAAAGGATATAACCGAAAAGGGCGCACAGGTTCTTTCTTATTTCAGTTCTTTTTGTCCTTCTTCGACATATTTCTAGATTATGGAGTTTGTCTTTTGTGTCAGTCGTGGATGATTGATTCATGCTCTTTGCCATCTCAGGCTGTGGTTCAATACATGAATGATCTCGTGGAGGCAAGAAACACCAAATCTCAAAGAACTAAGCCGAAAAAGAGCTGGGTTAACAGTATTTGCTGCTTCTGCAAGTCCTCCACCAACTAGAGAAAACAGAGCTGCATGGAGATCATCTAAACCACTCTGAAAAAAATCTGCCCTTTTAATCTTCAGGTAGATTTCTTTCTTAAAGTTCCAAACAACATGAAATCCAAACCAAAATACCCAGGCGGGATAGAAGAATCCCGTCGTGTCCAGACAGTTCACCATTCATTCTTTTATTCACAATCACATGGTTCTCCATACAATTTCACATCACTCTTCTTCATGGTGCTTGTTTATACCTCAAATTAGGACTGGATCTTGAGGAAAATGTAATTCAATTTGTTAATCTCCAAGTGATTCTATTCTTGTATCTTCTCTTGATGTAACTCAATTTTTGTTTCTTTTGATGTTGCATATTCAGTATTGATGCAATTAGAGATCACGTCCATAACATATGTTTAGTTTAAAAAATAACAACAAAATTTCATATAAGACAAAGATAAAGTCGTCATATGTATTTACTAACAACAAAACAAACTAGATTTACTCATAAGTTGATATTTATTCAAGGATTGACATTTTAAATATATATTCCAATTACTAACAAATCTCAAAGTTAAGGATTAACCAAGGTCAGATCATCACAACCTTGAGCTACTAAGTTTTTAAAGAGTTCATCTTCTGTCTTCATTCTCTGCACCAAATCACATAGTTTCTTCTGATCCATTTCTTAGTATGAAACTCCACTTAGTTTCTTCGTGCGTATCGACCGTCGACGTTTTTAATTTCTTTCAAGACATCCATTCGAGGAGCCCTATACAGCTGAAACATGACAAGACATTAGAGGTCATCAAGCATAACTATCTATGTCCTTTCAAACTCAACAAACAATAGAGATTCATTAACACCAATTCTTGCTTTTACCTGCCCTAGATCGTCCAACTTCTTTTCCTTTTTTTTCAACTCAAACATTAGAGCCTCACACCTCTGAAATATGACAAGACATTACATGTCAACCATGACTTAAGTCTTTTCTTTTAAGATCCATTATAGCTTGTTTATTTACCTGAAATAGTTTTTTCACCTCAGCCAGATCAGCCTTATACTCCTGAAACATGAGAAAACATTACATGTCAACCATAACTATAGTTTGTCTTTTCAAAATCAAACAACTTGAGGCGCATAACACCATTTCTTGCTTACTTTTACTAAGGACCTTGCTTCAGCCAACGCCTGAAACGTGAGAAAAATCTGATGGAGACATTAGAAATCAACAGTAACTGTATCCTTTCACACACACACACAAAAAAAAAAACATTTCTTGCTTACCTGTTTGGCTTCTTTGATTTTTTTATTTAAATTAGGGGTTAAAGCATCATCTGAAGGAAAGACAATACACATTGATGAAGCTTGTTTCCCCAAAAAGCAAATCATAAACTAATCAAGTAATCAATGACCTAAAAGATCCTTTAAAGCCACATACTTGTGAAGTATCCAAGAGCAAATATTGGTGCATTCGCAAAAGCTCTCCCAAATATTCCCTTCTTCTGGTGAGAAGAGAAATGATACAATTATTCCCTATTAAATCTCTCAGTTTATAGTTTATCAAGATCAAGCAAAAGAGTGTTACCATGATCTTCTTCTTGACCCTCCTGAAATTGAAACTCTTCTTTAGTCTTCCGTATATATAAATGGAAATAAAGTATCAAACAACAAATTCACCATAAAAATGTTATTACATGGAACTAAAAGTTACTAAAACAGATTTCAATCGAACCCAAAACAAAGTCTTTCTCAATATAAGGAAGTGAACAAAAAAACACCAAGATCATAACTTTTTCACTATTTATTGTTCTCTTGGGAAAAAGTTGGGAAATTTCAAGCATTAGCAATCTTGTGGGTCAAAAAGGCTCTATAAAAAACCTAACAACAAAAACACTGACAATAAAAACCATTTTATCAAAGAAGAGAAACAAACAGAGAAACGGCAATGACTGTAAGACGGAAAAAATGGGCAAGACCTAGAAATCCTTTGCGAGATTGACGAGGAGATGCTGCTATAGTCTTCGATTATTGGAGAAGACAGTAACGCAAGCAAGCAAATGATCTTCTTCAGTACCTTTTTTTTTTTTTTTTTTTTCATCAAAACACCATTTCTATTAAGATATCGGAAAGAGACTCTCCGCTAGGGAGAGCCAATCAGGAACCGACGAGCTTACATGGGAAAAGAGACTGTTACGAGATCGAGCATTTTTAGCCAAACAATCTGCTCGAGTATTAGAACTACGAGGAAGGAATCTAATACTAAAAGAAGGGAAAAAACAAACGAGTGACCGGAAAGAGGCCATTTCTGCTGCGAAGGTTGGCCAAGCGTCTTGGTTGTCAATGAGAGATATCATATCCGAGCAATCGGATGCGAAGGCGCAAGTAGTAATGCCTAGCGAAATCAAACACTCCATTGCCCAAAGCAAAGAATCAATCTCTGCGTGGAGTGGTGAGAGACTTCGTCTCGAACTCTTTAAGCCAAGCTGGAGAATACGGTCTTGGTCGACTAAAACCCAACTATGTCCACTTAGGGAATCCTCTGAATGCCAGGAAGCATCCGTCTGACATTCTGAGATCCGGGAAAGGGACGAGTGGAGTAAAGCCGAGCCGGCGAGAGGCTCAGGATCTGCCGCTTCTTTCGTGTTCGCTTTCTTCCAAACAGAGGCTTCTTGTAAGGCCAAGGCCAAAGTCTCCTGAGGAGGTTCTTTAAAGTTTTCAAAGCAAAATCTGTTACGACTTTTCCAGATATACCATAATATCCATGGAAAGAGTTCCAGAGTGTCCTCTTCTATTCCGAATTCTTTCCCACGCCAGAAAAGAAAGTCGAAATTATAGAAGAGGGAACTTCTGGGGAAAATATGCCCTGAGGTAGGAATGGGTGATAAGGCCCAAATTTGCCTCGAAGGCGGACAATCAAAGAGAAGATGGTTTATAGATTCTTCAGGACCCCCACAACGAGGGCATCCTTTCTCATTGCCAATATGGCGATAGGATAATCTCTGGAATGTGGCTAGACATCCTGAGACACATTGCCACGCGAAATGCATAAGCTTTCGCGTAGTTTTTAACTTCCATACCTGTGCCTGAAGTGCCGAAACACCAGGTCCCTGAAAAGGGGGGTCACAGGTAGGGCGAGATAACTCTCGCGCGGCCCAATATCCTGATTTAACAGAATAGTTTCCGGATTTGGTATGCGACCAGCTAAAACCATCACTCAAGTAGGTGCGACTTGGCCGAATCCCTAGAATAAGTGGAATATCAGCGGGATCAATCAACGCTTGAAGGCGATCCAGCTTCCAAAGCTTTGTTGATTGATCAATCAAGTCATTGACATAGAGAAGAGGGTCTCTATTGTCAAGAAGACTCTTAGCAGCTCTCGCAGGAATAGTGGGAATCCATGGGTCCTCCCAAACTTTGGTTAACATTCCGGAGCCTATGGTTCTCCGAAGACCCGAAACAAGAAGAGGTTTGGCAGCCATTATGCTTCTCCAGCCATATGAGGGCCGATTCGAGCTTCCTATGTGTAAAGGGTCGCTAAAGCGAAAATAACGTCCCCTTAAGACCCTACTTAAAAGAGAGTTAGGAAATCTGATAAGGCGCCATAATTGCTTAGCCAATAAGGCTAGATTAAATTCCTCTAGCGTTCTAAAGCCAAGACCACCTTCAGCATAAGGTGTACAGAGTTTATCCCACGCTATCCAGTGAATGCCATTGCTATTTTCGTTAGTTTTCCACCAAAAGTTTGCAATGGCACTGCTTAATTTTGAGCGAATTGCTTTGGGGAGTAAGAAGCACGACATTACGTATGTCGGAAGAGCCTGCGCAACAGACTTTATGAGGACTTCTTTGCCACCTTTGGACAAGAACTTTGCGGACCATGTATTAAGCCTTTTTTGAAGCCGGTCTCTGACAAAGGAGAATACTTGAACTTTTGAGCCATGAATCTGTTCAGGAAGGCCCAGGTACGATCCCATACCCCCATCTCGATGAATTCCAATTGTCGCTTTAATGATATTCCGGGTTGAGTTATCCACGTCATGACCAAACATTACCGAAGATTTAGCAGTATTTAGTAGTTGTCCTGAAGCCTGTCCATAGGTACGGAGTATATCAATTATTTCTCGACCTTGCGTCGGATCTGCTTTACAGAAAAACAAGCTATCATCGGCAAACAGAAGATGTGAGGTGGAAGGACTTGCGCGGGAGATTTGAAGGCCTTGAATGCGACCATTCCATTCAGCATCTTTTAGCTTTGCCACTAATGCCTCTGTACATAAAATGAACAGGAAAGGGGAGATAGGATCACCTTGGCGAAGACCCCTAGAAGGACGAATGATGCCTCTCGGAGACCCATTTATAAGAACTTTATAAGATACCGAAGAGATACAGCAGATGATCCAATCTACCCAACGTTGAGAAAAACCCATTTTCAACATTAGGGCCTTGAGAAAAGACCATTCCACCCGATCGTAAGCTTTGCTCATATCTGTCTTTATAGCCATGAATTTTTTCTTGCACGCCGGATTTGTTCGGAGGGCATGGAAATTTTCCTGGGCTATAAGAATGTTATCTGTGATAAGTCTTCCAGCCACAAAGGCTGATTGAGTCTCAGATATAAGATCCGGAAGAAGCTTCTTGAGCCGAAGACTCAATATCTTCGAGATAACTTTGTACCCAACGTTACACAAGCTGATTGGTCGAAATTCCGTCATCTTTCTTGGTCTATCTGTCTTAGGGATCAAGCAAATATTTGTCTCATTGAGACGGTCATCAAAAGATCCAGAAGAGTGGAAATTTTGGACTAATTTAACTAGGTCTGGTCCAGTCAAGTCCCAGAACTTCTGGTAGAAGAGGGCCGTCATCCCATCCGGACCCGGAGCTTTATCTGGATGGAGAGGGAAGAGGGCTTTTTTAACTTCCTCCGGGGATATCTCTCTAGTGAGCTTTTGATTCATATCCTCCGAGATCATAGCTGGCACATCCTGAAGAACAGAATGGAATTCTTGTGGATTAGAGGTGGTAAAAAGATCCTTGAAGTAGTCTACCGCTAGGCGCTCAATACCCACCTCCTTATCCACCCACATACCATCATTATTCAAAAGACCCAAAATCTTATTTCGGGCTCGTCGCTGTTTAGTAATAGCATGAAAAAATTTAGTGTTCTTATCCCCTTCTTTGTACCAAGTCTCTCTGCTCTTCATTTTCCAAAAGATCTCTTCTTCTCTATAAGCGTCACAGAGTCTCCATTTTAGGGCAAGAAGCTCTTCAGCAGAAATGGAATCATCTTCTTGAGCGCTATCAATTTTATCTTGTAATTCCTTAATCAGTTTCTCCGAGTTCGTAGAATTCGATTTTTTCCACTTAGAAATGGATCGTCTGCAATTCTTAACTCTTTGTGTAAAAATACCTCCTTCAAGCGAAGGGAAATTCCAGCCTTCATAAACCGACTCCTTAAACCCCGGTTTACCTAACCACCGTTTATCAAAAAAGAATTGCTTAAAAGCTCGGGGAGGACTGTTTTGAATTGAAGCTAGAAGGGGTCGATGATCAGAACCCCATAATTTTAAATACTCCACATTCGTGTGGGAAAAGATAGAATACCATTCTTCATTGCCCAAAGCTCTATCTAACCGGGCTTTGATAAGACGACGAACTCTCCGGCCCGCAACTCCACAACTACGCCGCCCCACCCAGGAGAACAAATTTCCCTGAGATGGGACCTCGATCATCCCACAGTTCTCGATCATACAACGGAAGGGGAGGAAAGAAGATTCGGACCTACGTTTACCACCTCTCTTTTCATGGTTTCCAGTAATTTCGTTAAAATCGCCTATCATAAACCATGGATCAGAACGGGTAATGCCAATCCGAGTCAAACGCTCCCAAACTAACTCTCGGTATTGAACTACCGGATCACCATAAACAAAAGTAATAAAAACTCGGTTTCCATCAATAATAGTCTCAATATCAATAAGCCGATCACTAACAAAAACAAACTTAACCGGATAGTCTTTCGAATACATAATAGCAAGACCACCACTGTTACCAATCGGTTCAACAGTTTGAAGGGAATCAAAACCTAAAGATACTTGCATATTTAGAAGATGCATCATATCATTTTTAGTCTCCGATAAAAAAAGAAAACCTGGGGAATACAACCGACACATTTCCTCCAGTCGACGAGTAGTAAGTTGTGCACCCGCCCCTTGACAATTCCATGCTAGAATTTTCATGTGTTCATTCCGGAGGGAGATTGAAGCCCCACCGTACTAACAAATGAAAATATAAACTTATTTTTCGAGAGATAGACCACCTCAAAACGAGGGATAGTTATTGATTTATTCGAACCTCCCATCTTTGATTTCAAGAAAAATTCTAAAATATAGTATAAATTTAGAAATGATCTTTCCATATATGAAAATGGGAATGTTCTCTCCTTAAAGGAGGAAATCAAAGCACAGAGATCTTTGGTACACAAATTGTTTAATGGATCAGAAACACCCCAAAAATTGAATTTACTAGGCCAGACCCAAACATTCTTCACTGCCAAAAAAATGGAACTTGAAACCCTAACTTCATGTGTTTGACCACGCCGGAACCAAAACGCACCCGTTAATGGCAGTAGGTGAGAGAGTACCCTTTCGAGAACAACCACAATCCTCGCCGGTGTCCATGCCATCCGACGGAAAAAGAGATTAGAGGAGGGCAAGTTCTCACCGGAAACCATGGTGGAAGCCGAATGGAAAGAAGAAAAACGAAGCGGATTCAGTACCTTTTTAACTGGAAGGAAACAAGAGAGACGAAGTAGCAAACCGGGTTTAGTGGAATTCTTTTACTTCAATTTATTTCGGTTTGGTTCTCTCTTGTTGGACCATGTTTGTTGGCAAGGCCCAGGAAGTCGAAAAGCCCAAAATAAATTAAAAAATGGCTTTTTGATCATATGAGTTCTTGTTTATTTGGGGTTAAGCAGAATCTTGACTTCCTGTAAAAGATTCTGCTTTGACTTCAGTTCATTCCTACTTGCTTATCATCAAGTCAGGAGAAGCTGATTAAGTAAGACTATCAACAACGGCTCTCCAGTTTGCTCTCTTCTTTGGCCATTTCATGAACAAATTGACCTATTTTAGCTAAAATCTTACACTAATAAGTAGTAACACTACTTGTTGAACCAATTGACTACCATGTTAGAGTTACTTATCACACAAATTGCCACTCCAAAATCAGTTGTCACTATATTAACAATTTTAAAAAGATAATTTTTTAAAAAAATTTTACGTATCATTTCACATATTTTAGTTATTCAAAAAGAATTATTATCTTTTAAATTTTCTAATTGATGGTTATATCTTCATAATTGTTAAAAATTATCAAGATGTCAGCATTAAAGAAACACAATTTGTTTTTATGTAATTGATTGCTACCAAAAAAAAAACCAACAATTTACACAAAAGTAAGAAAGTAGAAAATAATCAATTCTTTCCCCTGAAAAGTAATTTCGGAGGGACCGATGAGTGCATAGATTTAGCCTCACATAAGCTCACATGGCCGACTCCATTTGTAATCCTTAGCCTCAGATAAACAAACATCTCGAGATTTGAACTCCATCTGAGATTTGATTAAGTACAATGGATTACAACAACAAGAAACGAAGAGAAAAAACTTTTAAGATCTCTCTATTCCTAATTAAACTCACTTTACATAATTTTTATGCAATTAATTATTGCCATAAACAAAAATTAGTGTTAATTAAGGAAGAAACGTTGGAATGGTAGAAGAAGAGTGTTGGTGATGTTGATGACGATGAGCTTGATCTTTCATCTCCGCCGTAGAAGCATGACCACACCGGTCACATCTCAACGGCGTAAGAATCCGGCGACAAGAAGGACAAGAAGACCTAGAAACTAGCCATTTGTCAATACACTCCACGTGGAAAGAATGTCCACAAAGAGGAAGCACTCTTATCTCTTCGCCGTCGGCGAAGTCAGTGAGACAAATAGCACATTCCGTTGAGTCTCCGTCGTCAGCGGCGGCGCCGGAGGTGGATTCCGCGGCGGTGAAAGTGGATCTTGGAAGAGACTGAAGAGCTTTCTTTTTCAAGCCTTTGTTCGGAGACGGCGAATCTCCTCCGGCGGTAAATCGCCGGAGCCAAGCGCAACGTACGACGGCGGCGAGACCAGCTACACATATAAGAGCGCAAAGAAGAGCCGACAAGATCACTACCATGTCGGATTCCGCTGCTATCATCTCCTCCGACGGTTGTGGTGGCGGCGCCGCCGTCTCGAGCAATCTTGACGGTCGAGTCATTTTTTTTTGAGCTTTGGAGACTTTTATTTCTTTGTGTGAGTTTGAAGACAAGAAAATGTGTGGAGTGATGAAGATAAGAAAGAATCTTGATCCACGTTATAATAGAGACACATAAAGGATATACATACATTATGATATACATCTTTAATTATATAATAATATTTGCATACAAATAAGATATTTCTAATATTTAAAACAAATCTTGTAGTATATGATAATAATACACGCAGAAAAGTTTGGATGAAGAGAAACAAAATTAGTAAGTATTATTATTTGGTGGTTTTTTCGAATTTATTGGCTGAATTAGTGTTTACATGCAATTTGCATCTCCTAATTAGAGTATTGTTGTTTCGTGTGGACACATATTCTGTTTAAAAACAAACATTTTGCTCTTAATGGAGATGCATCTATCTATCTCCAACTTCTTAGATCACAAACCATTTCTTTCTTTGGATTTTTTTAAAAAAATCAACATAGTGTTTGTTCCTTGTGTGTGTTTATGTTCAATATTTTATGACTAGTCAATTGATGTTGAGATCATCAAGACTTATTTTCAATTTATTTTATGTATTAAAAATAATTTTTATATGTTATTTAAAATTTTGATAGAGAGATGTGATTATATTTTATTGAAATTGGAAGGAAACTTGGAGTTAAGAATATAAGAAGAAAAGATGGGTAGGTGGGTTGGCTTTATAGGTTCTGTTTTGACGAACACATTATCAAAAGGTATAAGTAAGCTCTTTTCTCACCTAAACGGCTAAACCTACCTTCGATTAGACCATTTTTTATTTTTAATTCTCTTACATTTAAATATTTTGGATAATATGATTTTCTGACGAAAAAAAAAAAAAAAAAAAAAAAAAAAAAAAAAAAAGGATAATATGATTTTCTATCATAATAAATAAAAATTGATGGAAAAGGACAAATGAGATATCAAATTGTGGAAAGAGTATGTTATTTTAAAATTTTAATAACACCGGCCACTATTGGTTATTAGCTTATTGCACTATACTTTTATTGTAAAAAATAATTTTAAACATTGTAATTTCTTAATATCATTTTTTCTTGCCAGCCATTTAACCGACCATTTATTAGTTTAGTATACGAGTTTTTAAGCTAGAACCTCGAAACTAGCATTTTGGTTTTGTTTAAATTGTCTTGTAATATATTTTGGATCTTGTAAGTTTTGTATATAAGCCGTTTCCGAGGACTTTTCTTTCGTCCGTCGGCTTAGCTTCCCTTGTTTGGGATTTGTATTTCACTTTGGTACCAAAACAAGCTTCAATAATAAAATTTCAGATGACCAAAAAAAAAGTAAGTTTTGTATAAGCCTAGGTGAGATCTGGATTCTAAATCTATTACCGAAAACAGAATCTTTAAAAGTAGATCAACGTGTCCATAAATTTGGTAGGGATACGTATATTATAAATCTAAATAGGATACAATTTGACACGTAATGTATTGGTGAAATTCTATAGGAACTATTAACCCGCAAGTACACGTCTAGAATATTTTTCATGTTCGTCACTTTAAATATGAAGTTCACACCTCAAACACTTGACTCTTTTATAACTAAATCAATCTCTAAACCATGTATAAACCATAGATAAAATCAATCTCAATTAATCCTTCACTAAGTCTATACCAAACCTTATTGGTTCAATTGTTCAAACATATGTTAATTGTCACTTGGAACAACCACCCTCAACCTAAACTTGTAACTACTGGACCATGCATGGTCTTTTTTTTAATAAGAAATATGCATGAACCATTGGTTTGATATATCTTTAAAAAGAATTGATAATGTTTAAAAATGTCGTCATTTGTTTATAAACTGATAATGTTTTCCTCTTCTGTTAGCATTTTGTGTAGATCATAACACTGAATTGGAAAAGAAAGGAATAAAACTTTAACCAGTTTAAGTTTGCGACTTTAGCGTTCGGTGATAAAAAAAAATAGTAGAACTTGTAGTATAAAGACATCCGAAATGGAATCTCTTTTAGCTAAAATGCTTTTTTAACGTCTCTTTATCTGAATGCAAGACATGTGAATCTTACTAAAATACAAAGCAAAAGACAAAATAAAATAAAATAAAAGAAAACTAATAATGGATGAAAAAAAAAAAAACGTTCTAACCAAAGTTTGTTGGTTTCAGCTTTGGCCTTGGATATAAGAGTTTAGGTAACGTTCTTGTTAGCTTTGAAAATTTTATTTGCAACGTTTTCGTATGTGATGCTTTAATAACAATTAACCTATAATTTTATCAGATGTTTTAGGAGAAATACTATCAAAATTCAGTTTTTTTTTTTTTTTTATAAACCTAGTTATGAAAAATGGGTGCACATGTGCTAGTCTGTCTCTTCGACTTTATTTTTTTGTTAACCAATCTTTTTTGTTGTAGTGTTTAAAGTGAATACGCCTTTTAGTTTTAAGTTATCTGTGAAGTACCAATCACAGGGATTTTGTAAGGAAGCCTTTTATCATCTTTTAAATATCAAAATGATATGATATTTTTATATCCCATGTGCTTCCCCTCTCTGCGCATAGCTGATCCATCAACTTTCTCAATTATTTAGCATCATTATAATTTCATAAGAATGGCCAGTCCCAAATATATAAGTCATAATGCAAACGGAAAATTTTGTAGTTCTGAATAAATTAATTTTAGGTCATTTGTAGACAAGTTAAGATTAGAAAGTAAAAAAAAAAAAAAACTCAAACGTTCTAAAATTCGTTAATTGATCATTTGCAACAAAAAAAAAATGTTATTACTATAATAAAATACTAGATTTTAACCCGCGGTACAGATTTTAACCCGCGGTACACCGTGGGATGATTTATTTTTTAAAGTTAATTAGTATATATAAAATTTTATAAATTGTATTTCCTTATAAAATATTTATGTTTTATAGTTTATAATTATTATCAAGTAACGGTATATCACGAGTTCACGGAACAATAATAAACTGAGGATTTAACTCGTATTAAAGCGGCAAGTTATTGATATTTTAAAATTTTATAAATATTGATTCAAACCCGTTCGCCATATAAATCCGTTCCGAAATATAATCCGTCCCATAATTTCTTAACACGTCCCGTGATTTGTTTTCTAAAAGTAGTGATCTTAAAATTTAATGATTTTTTATTATATATAAAGTTTATAAATTGTATCATTCTCTAAGACATTTATATTTTAATAAACTAAAGATTTAATCTGTATTAAAGCGACATGTTAATGATATTTTAAAATTCTATAAGTGTTGATTCAAACTCGTCCACCATATAACCCGTCCTATAATTTCTTAACCTGCCCCATAATTTGTTCTCTAAAAGTAGTAATTTTAAAAAATTCAAACCCTAAGCGAGTTACTTTAATTTGGTATACAAAATAGTATGCACTAATTGTGGCTTATCAACTAGAAAGACCTGAAAATTTTAACCGCGGGTATTAATAACGACTTAGATCATCAGATAGAAATGATCAAATGAAAACGTAAATGAACATTATAAAAAGGAAGTCCTTTTTCTTTTAACTCAGGTTAAAATTAAACAACATTTACTACATATTAATCCTCTTAGCTAGGATTCAGTTTTAACTTCTGCTAAAGTATCTCCTAAGTCTCCTAAGTCTCATGAGTCTTGTCCATAATCCTTCTTGATCCACTACGTTAACAAGAACCGGGTCTTTGAAATCTGCGTTTGTGCTTAGCTCCTCAAAGGCGTTTACAAGGTTCTCCAGCCTTGCAACAAACTCGATGAGAAGGGAAGCAAACGTGGCTAAAGACAAAGAACTCGCGCTTTCGTATACTTTATATACTGTCTCATTCACCACAGAACCACCAATGAAGGACACACTTGGCCATGTCTCGCGGTTTCTTAACATCATACTCTCTGTTGATTCCCATATCTGAGATTCATCATTACCACTAGTTGGATTCTGGTTGTTGCTGCTACTGTTGGTATCCCAAATCTGACTTAAGGATTTGATCACTTTGGTCTCGTGAGCTTCTTCTTCATCTACTTCAGCTTCAGCTTGCTCTTTAGTAGCTGCCCAGCTTTCTGAGTTCACAAGAAGGTAGGATTTACTGTCTATTTTCATCTGTAGCTCCTCTGCTGCAAGTTGAACGTCATTTAGAATCTCCCTGGGGCTTAGCTTCTCCATTTTCTCCACTTTGTCTCCAATCAAACGCAGAACTTTTGCGCCTTCATTTCCAACTCTTTGAAGTTCATGGCGGAAAACCTGTCGTTTCTCTGGAGCTGCCTGCCATATTACACAACCCATTATGTCACCACGCATGTAAGAATAATACAATGTTTTATATCATTCAACCAAATTAACACTAAACATATTTTTTAAAATGTAAACTAAGAAGTTTAGGGCCTAGACTCATAATTTCTTCGGACCGGGAAGGCGGGAACTAGAACATATCAAATAAGCCTAGCTCATATCCTTCATCAATGCTTGAACGCGGGACCTTCCCGACCATTCCTTTTGGATGGATGGTCAAGTGGTGGTACATCGGTTGATATATACCAAACAATTATATTCCACATAAAAGCAAAATACATCAACTAGTAATTAACATCTTATGTAGAATTCATAAAATAGTAATAAGGCAACCTGTATCTCTGAAAGAATGCAACCATGTATTGCCATGACGGTGAAAGCACAATGCCTTAATGCACCACTAAGTTTGACATAATTTTTCCAGGGATGGTTAAACGTTCTGTAAGGTCCATGTGGAGGCTCCCATATGGCAAACTCGAGCTGCAAAAAAAGAGGAAATTCTTAAATCTTAATGCTAAAAAAGATGCAAATTCTTTTTAGTTGTCTCAACTTCAAACATATGTACCAGAGATTCTTCTTGATTTGTTGATTGAATAGCGGACCTGTACCCACTATATAATGGATCATCAGATGTTTGGTACGTGAGAATCTTCGAGGGTACTCTCTCGTATTCCACACATTGCAAGTAGCCATTAACACATCCTAAATGTTTAAGGATCAACCAAAACCTGAAATATCAGTTCAAAACCGAAAAGGAAACAAGGGACAAGAACATAAAATGCCAAAACCCGAAAAAGCCGAAACTAAACTAAATAAACCATAGAGTTCATATTAATAAGAAAAAAATCCCAATAATTCTTTGTTAAATTTCATCAAACTAATTGTAACATTATTTTTAAATCATATGTATTCAAAATCTTTATTTCATATATATACATCTATAATATGATTTAATTTTACGAATTTGATTGGTCCATCATCTAAAAACTTCCATCTTTGTTTTCAAGGACCAGTGAAGTTATGTTGGTTTACCTTCTAGGGAATTTGCCACACTCTTGAAATTATTGGCCACCAGTTTATGGAGATCTTCCCCGGCCCATATCGGAAATATGAATATATTCACAACCAAACATGTGGTTGCACCAACAACAATAAACAAAAACCTGTAATACGCCGTGCTGAAGAAATCTCCGGTATTGTTCCCCGAAACAAGAACAATACAGAATGTCAACAAGAAGACCCTGAATGCATATTCATATGGCTTCATGGCCGGGTGAAGTTTCGAATAACTAGCAATGAAACCTGATTGATCAAGGTCAAAGATAAAATGTTACTATCTATCTTCAAAACGTCATGTAGGAGACAAGAAAATGCGGAAACCTGCAAGGAAAATGCAGATTATGATGATGGCTTGCTCGAAATCTCCTGATAAAACAGAGAGCCTCGCGATGCCAAGAGCGAGTCCTCCAGCAGATACCGTGCCTATCGCTCTGTTGAATCCTTTGACCAAAGTTGCTCCTGAAAATTAAACATTGAGTTAGGGAAATGAATAAGAGTCGCCTAAAGAAAAATTATATCAAAGATCACAGGCTAAGAGAAATTTGAGAGAACAAACCATCAAATAAAGCATTAAAATGTGATAAGCATTATGAAAATGTCATAAATAAGAACTATACCAAAAAACATTCATGTGATAAATTAAGAATGTTAAATTTAAGCAGATTTTTTTTTTTAATATTTATGCAAAACAATTAACTATAGTTTTATCAATTTATTAATCTTATTATAACTCAGCATAAACTAATCATCAAATTAATTCAGTTTACATTAAAAACAAATACATACTTGGATAATCATGTATTTATGAAGTCAAAACTTATAAATTCAATTATTCTGTAATTTATAATATATAAAAACTAGAGGGAAATGAAAAAGAACAAATGTTAAAATTAAGATAATTATTAATTGAGGAATATGGAACTGCCTAGTGCTGCTGATTAGGACCCACTTTAATACTGTTTAATTAAAAAAATTGTTTAACTCCAACGTCTAAGAGATAATCGGTTTAACTCCAAGTATCAATAGCTCAACTGGTAAAACTTTTAGGGAAAGTCTAAAAGTCGCAAGTTCGAGTGGTACTTGAAAAAAGACCATATGAAATGTTATGGTTCCTAGCCTGAGAGAGTGTACGGCCTAGGTCCAAAAACCTCTTAGTTATTCAAATAAATAATAATAACAAGAAAACATTCTCCTCCTAATTGAATCAATCGTAAGAATCAAGAACGAATAAAGTACCTACGGAATACTCGAAAACCACGACCACAGTGAGGATGCCCCATACAGAGTATTTACTAGCATCATGCAACGGCTCTTTGAGGAAGATAACAACGGAGCAGAAGGCAAGAGCCATTCCCATCTTGACCGCGAAGAGGATCCTTCTACGATCTGAATGTCCCAACTCGCACAGTTTTGTGATCTTGCGGAAACACGAATCTGAGTATCCATTCTGCGAGAGAAGCCTCTCTCTGCTCTGTTGATGAAATGGACCCATTTTTTCCTAAATTACTCTAAAGAGAACCTTGTTGTGTAATTAAATAGAAAGAGAATTTTCATTTTCGTCAAGGGATTCATTTGTACGTCGTTGCAATTACTTTCTTTTGCCATTATTCCATTAATGCAAATACTTCACCACATCATCTCTAAAAAAACTTTATAAGTTTTTGAATTTTACCTTTTTTGGTTCCATACGTGTGGACCTGTGAGTGGACCCAATTATGAAGAGGTTATTAATTACGTGCGTATTTTATACCTAAACATAGAGACAGTTTAGGAAAATGTCAAAACAAAAGTTTCACGGTTAATGTTGGCTCGTGAGTAATGTGACTTGTGACTTTGACATTTTGAAAGCGTTACTATTTATTACATATCTACCGCTCGCTCACCATTCTTCCTTCCAAGGTCAAGCCTACCCGCTCTTCAGTTGATATTTTTCCTGTAGGATCTTTTTTGGGTCTGATTAGTAACTCGGTATGCGGCTTACTATTTTCATAATTTACCAATAAATAATGATATTAAAAGCATTATATCGCTATTCTCAACCGTTTTCTCTTACCGTTATTTTTTTTTTTTTTTTTGTCATTGTTTTTAAATATTTTGATATCGCTTATTCTACCCGTTAAAAACTTGTACCGCTTTGTATCATCGATTGGATACAATATATATAATTCGTAGATTTTTGGTGGAACTGATTCTTCTCTTAATTCTTAAATTATGGTTAGGTGAAACTGAAAAAAAAAATTGTACATATATGTAAATAGATTACAATGTATTTTAGTATAATGATTCATTTATTAATTGTTTCTGACATATCATGTCTATATATAGTATAATTTTTTTTTTTTTGTAACCATGTAAATATAAGGGAAGATTAATAACAAAAGTAATAAACCCAAACAAAAAGGAAGTTGTGATGAAATGAAATATAGAAAAGCATATACTGTATACTATATGTAGGCATGTATGTATATAGTTCAAAGTACAAAGGCACTTGTGAAATGTACAATTTATAAAAACCTTAATTAACCTAGCATATTGTACTGTTTAAGTAATTTGTAGAGACTTTTTTCTTGATTAATGAAATACTTCTTTGCATATATAGTACAAAGACAAACATGCATATGAAAATGTACAATTTATATTAAAAAAAAAATCATTAACGTTTTGCTTAATTAATGTCTGCAAGCCGATGACTAGTGATCAGTATACAAACTAAATGATACCTCGTTTAACCTGTTGTCCGGCCCATTTATCTTTTCATGCTTTAGTCCCTTCAGCTTTTTCATTAAAAATTTCCCTCCAAGCAATTTTTCTAATCAGCAAAAAAAAGAAAGGTTTAAAGAAAAATTTGTAGAGAGTAAACCTCCATGGGATAAATGAATATATTATATATCAATCCTCAAATGCATGGATGTTATTTATATTTTTGAGTTAGTGAACGTGGTTGTTCAGTTCTTAATCTTTTCCTCTTTCTTAAAAATATGATCTCGTTGAAGCCTCCTAATAAACCCATTAAAACAAAGTAAATTCAGCCTCATATGGGCCTTAATGCATACGAAAATACGATTAACTAACTAAAATAGAATTTTAAGATTTTATCGATTTCTAATTATATTTGGACAAAAAAGAAAATCGATTTGTAATTGTATAAAATAAGATAAGATTTTCCATTACATTAGAAACACACAAAAAAAAAAATAACATAATCATAAAACGGTTGCAACAAGAAAAAGGTAAAGATATTATTGGAAAAAAGTTTTGAATTTATCCATATATAAAGAAATTGGAAATAAAGTAAACCAAATCCTGCTAGGATTATGATTTAAGAATCGTAAAGCTATATAAATAGGACACATACGTGACTTCTTTATTCACAAACACATTCATCAATATACACATTCATCTAGTTTAGAGATCTCATTATCTTTCTTCTTCTTCCTACACGATCTAATCATGATCACAAAGAAGATCTTTGGCTTTGTGCTCATGATCACAATTCTCTTTGGTTGCTGCTCTGCGACAACCTACAAAGTGGGAGGTTCTAATGGATGGACTGGGAAAAAGAACTCTTGGGCTGTGCATAAGGAATTCCATGTCGGAGATTCTTTGATCTTCGAATACGATCAAAACATCAACGACGTCATTCAAGTCTCCAGCGCTTTAGAGTATGAGTCATGCGACTCTTCTTCGCCTAAAGCGCTTTACAACACCGGACACGATGTTGTAACCCTCAAGGAACCAGGATATCACCACTTCATCAGCTCAAATCATATTCAATGCGTCCATGGACTGAAACTCGACGTTTTTGTCGTCCATGACAAGTCACGTCCGATTCCTCCACCACCACCACCGAGCAAGATCCATGAACCCTCACGTCCGACTCCTCCTCCACCACCACCGGCCAAGATCAATGAACCCTCACGTCCAATTCCTCCACCACCACCACCAAGCAAGATCCTTCCTTTTGGTAAAATCTACAAAGTAGGTGACTCAAGAGGATGGAGCGTTTATAACAGTTACTACTATTACAAGTGGAGTGAAGGCAAACAGTTTCATGTTGGAGATACTCTCTTTTTTGAATACAACAAGTACCTCAACGACGTTAGGGAAATCAGCAATGATCTCGACTTCAAATCTTGCGAACCGAATTCTACTGTAGCCGTGTACAAGACCGGACGCGATCTAGTTAAGCTCACCAAACCAGGAGTGCATTATTTTGTAAGCTTAAAGACCGGTCTTTGTCAGGCTGGGATTAAGCTTCGAGTCATGGTGCAACCATTAACCGAAGCTGTTCCTTTCCCGAATGTTCCCAAGAAGAAGTTGTCACCTATTGACCGCCTCAACAGGTGGTGGTTACACCCTTTCAGACCTCATCACTAAGCATTCAGGAGTTTAGTTTACGAGTTTTTGGTTTTGGTTTTTTAAAGATTTTTTGTTTTTTTTTTTCTTACATTGTTTTCGTTTAGATTATGTTATTCACTTTTTCTTGGTCAATGGAGAGGCAATAAAATTCTTAACCAGCTAATAACATGTGTTACAAAACAAAAAGCCTTGCTTAATCATGTGGCCCATAATAAACTTATTAACTAAACTGTGGCTTGTTAAATTTGTAAACAGAATCAACATAGGAAAAGAAAAGAGTGTTTAAAGAGGAAAATATCAGAAAATCGGTTTATGGTTATCTATATAAGACTAGATTGGTTCAGAGGCAAACGAGAAAAAAAATCAAAACCCTAATTTCTACATACAGAGCCAAGCCGCTTTCTTCTTACTTGGGAGAAACGGTACAATGATGATGTCCGATCTTCCTCCGGAACTGTTAGAAGAAATACTCTCTAGGGTTCCAGCCACATGTTTGAAACGAGTACGATCTACTTGCAAACGATGGAACGATATGTTCAAAGACCGAAGATTCACCGAGAAGCACCTTCGTAAAGCTGGAAAGGAGTCTCTGATACTCATGTTGAAGGAGCTTAAACTTTGCTCAATCGGCGTCAATCTCAACTTTTCACCTCCATCTGTAGAGTTTCAAGGTACACTTGACCTAAAAGATTCCCACCCTAAATCAGAGCAAGTATTAGGTATAACTGAAGTTTTTCACTGTGATGGTTTGTTGTTATGCACCACTGTGGACAATCGAATCGTGGTTTGGAATCCGTGTTCTGGGGAAACCAGGTGGATCCAACGCAAAAATGGTTACGAGAGATACTCTAGGTTTGCTCTAGGATACGAAAACAACAAATCTTGCCGTAGCTACAAAATCTTGATGTGTTCTGTTTGTTACGATCGCAAACTAGTCGACGAGGACGGAGTTTTGGGGTTTGAAATCTATGAGTTTAGCTCTGATTCATGGAGGGTTCTTGATGACGTCGCTTCCGACTGCTTTCCATCTGCAAATGGCGTGTCTTTGAAGGGAAATGCTTACTGGCTTAAAGAAGACTTACTCAGTTTTGATTTTACAATTGAGAGATTTAAACGTGTTTGTCTTCCGCCAGTTCCAAGCCCTGATTGTATGGCTCTATCAGTTGTTAGAGAAGAACAACTCTCACTGTTACATCGGATTCAACATAGTACATCGAAGATGGAGATATATGTAACCAAGAAAGTTGATACTGAAGAAGCTGATTTGTTGTGGAGCAAATCCTCAACAGTGAATTTACCCATTGGAGGTAATAACGGTTTAAATGTTTTCTCGAGTCTATTAATCGACGAGGAGAAGAAAGTGGCCTTGCATTGTAATTTCAATTTGAAGACCAGGTGTAACATGTTTTACACTATTAAAGAGAAATATATAGATATCCTTTATACAGAATCTATACACAAGCTATGGTGGCTCGATAAAGCTTGTAAAGTAAGATACAGATTGTGGTGGTGGCCATTTATTTTCAGTTATGTTCCAAGTTTGGTTCAAATCAAGAACGGTAGAGGCCGCAAAAGGAAAGAAAGAAACTAGTCGATAAAGAAGTAAGAAACTAGTACTCCTTTTCTTCGTTTTTGTGTTTGATAGTTTGTGACTGTGTAGTAGAGTTTTGATTCTTAATATTTGTCTCTCATTTTCTTCAGCCTAGCTATTTTAATTAATATGGTCATCAATACATTACTTTATCACCACGGCAATGATTTACAAAAGCATAAGATAATTAAACCAAAAAACATTCTCTGTAGTGACAGATTCTTTACTACGATGGTTCTTTACTTGGCGCAGGCTTAACTTGAAAAGAACTCTTCACCATCACAGCTAGTCTCACCGGTCTTGCGATGGTTCTTTACTCGGCGCAGGCTTGACAAAAGAGAACTCTTTAGAATCAGTTTCAGTGTCACGGCTAGTCTCACCGGTCTTGGTCTCTAGCTTATTTGGTTCAACCTTCACAACTAGCTCGAAGCTTGGAGGAGATTTGGGAGGAGTCAAAGCTTCGTTGTCTGTGTCAAGATCCGATGTTTCAGGGTCAAGTCCTTCATATCTCATCGAATGTGGTGTGGTTTTGTAACGCTGCAATGATCTTACAGACGAAGTAGACCTAACTGTTGATGCCGTAGGGCTCGCACTGCCATCTCCACCTAGTCTCTTAGTAGTGGCTTTCACACCTTTCTTCTTCTTCACCGCCATTCTCCATTTCTTGAGTGCCTTTGATGTTTGTTCATCGAATACCGATTTTTTCATCCGCGAACCCATCTAAATCACAAAGATTTCTTAGTTTACAGACTGAACAGATGGCCAAGCATATGAACCAAAGAAATATACCTGAGTTACGAGTGCGTAAAGAGGAAGTGTTATGTAGCTGCAAAGACACAATACTCCTAAACTGCAAGAGAAAAAAGGAAACAAGATTAGTGATTGATCATGTTGTGTAGACAAGTTCAATATCTTTTACACCTCTCTGAGATTAGATACTTACGCAATCGCTACTTTTACAATTGCAATCTTGAAATTAGGATGGTAGCAAGAATCTTTTCCAAAGGAATACTGCATTACATCAATGGAGAAAACAGAGGATTAGCTACTCTTGTAACCAAGGAAATGCATTAAAAAGCAACGGAAAATCTAAAGTGTTACCCATATCCAAAAGAAATACGTGATCTGAAATGCGTTCTGCAAAATAAATATACGGTTTAAGAAACGAACTGAATCATAAAAGAGAGAATTTGTTAATGTGTTGTGAGATTTCTCTGTTTGTAAGTACCTGAAACAAGGCGAAATGCATGAGATGGAGAATCAGATGGGGACGACCGAACCAGAAATACTCATCGTTGCCTTGTACAAGCGGCATTCCTTGAACTACCGCGTGTCTATCGGTGATTCCGAGAGCCATCCTTGTCATAATCGCTTGAAGCTTTGTCCCTACAGCCAAAATTATCTTGAAAACAAAAACCAAAACTAGTTTGTCAAAAACTGTGAGTCCTTAAAGATATTATTATTTGGTAGATTTCAAGAAATTAAGTGAAAGATATCTTACGATAACCGGTATTGCAGTGCCGACGTACAACATCTTAAAGCCTGAAATACCAAGCAAGAAGATTAGAACACAGTCCATTGAACAATTGTTTATATACTTAGATTACTCACCTTCAATATTTAGGAGGAGGAATAGAACAAACGATCCCCACAAGACAGGGCTGCAATAAGACACAATCATTAGTGTCAAAGGAAAAAGAATCAATGTTCCTAGAAAGTGTTATAAGTTACCTGACTCCAACGACCACCTTGAAATCATCCTCCAACGATCTTTTTATGTATTTTTGAAAGTTAAATTGACTTCCTGGAGCTAGATGAACCTTCAAAAACCACAACAGAGAGACTCAGCAAGATCAATACTATATACTAAATCGACAAATGGACTGTAAGTTGAAAACTCACAGCGATGAATCCATTTCTCAATGTTAAATAGTCAGTTCTCCCAACAGATCTGAAAAACTGTCTGAAAAAACATCCCTGAAACGCGTATTCATCGAAAGTGAGAACCAGGTCAAAAATAGTTCCCAACCGTATTTTTGGTATGTGTGTTACATTATCTAGAGGTGACTAAGAAGAGAGTAGAAGTAAGAGGGTGATGATTCTTACAATATAGAAAAAGAATGGAATCCGAGTCCAGAAACTGGTGTGTGCTCTTACAAAAGACGTTTCATGAGTTAGCCTGAATCTGGAAGTATCTATATAAAGCAAGAACATCAAACACACAAAGTCACTAATCAGAGCTCAAGTCATCGCAAAGATTAAGACAAAAAACTATACGAGAGATAAAGAAGTCTCAAGGTCAAAGGAAGTGCATAAGTACCTGTTGAAAACTCGTAGTTGTGGGATGATGTCTCATTTTCCCAATGCTTCCATCCGCGAATCTGAAAAGATCGACAATCTTTGATACAACCAAACTTTCTGAAACCCAAACCGAGATATTGAACTATAAATTGGAGACAGTGTTTTTTAAGTACCTTCAACCTCCCAAGCATCATAGTTAAGAAGCTGTAAAGAACGTGGAATACGGCTAAGAAGAATATAAGAATATGCAACTGATGAAGTGCCTCGGCAGAGATAAGCTCTTCATAACCCTGCACCATCATTAACATTGACACGCTTTGTGTCATTTTTCACAATCTTCGAATCAACAAAACAAATATGTGACTGAATGAAAAAACATAACTCTGACCTCCTTCTTGCATTTAGTGGGAGATGCTTCACCTCCTGATAGGAATCTGTGCTCAAACGACAAAAGTCTCCTGTGACTTTCCCCATTGTCATCTTCCTCCTTTTTCAAGTGATCAGGAGGAGGACACGGGAGCATCGTACGAGCAACATGTGAAGGAATACAAATATCCAAAATGTAGGTTTGTCCAAATGTCAGAAGCAAAGAGATGAATCCAAGAACCATCAGCTCTGCAACAAAAAAGAAACAATTCAGAAATTTTCTGTCAAATTAAGACTTTGACTAAGTAAGCTCAGATTTCCAAATTCCAAGTAATCAGAAGAAATCTTCACCTGCTTTGATCTTCTCCAAAGCATCAAGAAGAGCTGTCTTGTGCCGATCCCATAGAACCTAAAAACCAAGAACAAGTTCACTTCAAGACAAATTTGCCAATTCAAACATAAGCATAAACCAAAATCTCAGACAAAGACAGTTCCTTTTCACAAATCAAAGAGAACCCATCTCCATTAAACCCTCAAATTCAACAAATAAAGAAAAGGACAAGGATTTAGCATAAACCCAGAAAAAAAGAACTCACCTTTCCAACTTTGTGAAGAAGTTTTTCAAGAAGAACAGAAACAACGATGAAGAAAGTACAAACAGCAGCAACAGCCCAAGTCGGAGTCTGATTAAGCATTTTATGTATCACTTTCTTCTCATCCTCCGCCATAACAACCACCACCGGAGACAAAAGACTGAGACAAATCAGCCGCCGAAGCAAAGAACCGTCGATGATTCCCATAACTCCGCGTTTTTTTATTGTTTCAGACAAAGTTTTGGTTGTACCTGCTTCGTTAACTTAAAACTATAGAAGTAGACAAGAGTGATGAGTTGTCTTTAAATCACATTTGCGGAAACTCTAACTATGGTTTCTTGGTGGTTTCGAAAGACTCGAACTTTGTACCTATTTCCAGAAACTTATTAGATCAAATGGAAGAAGATGCAAAAAGTGAAATTCCCCTAAATTGAGGAAGTTTTTAGATTGATGATGATAAATCTTTTTTTCTTTCTTTTACTTTTGTCAGAGTACGAAAAAATGATTCAGATTTATTTATTATCATTTACGGTTTTTTCAGAGAGGAAGAAGAAAGAGAGAGGAGAGTGTGAATAAAGCGCGTGAGATAGTTTTTTAAAAGTTGAAAGCAGTGAAATGTGGCTTTGATTGAGAAACTGTGATTGTCTTTGACTTAAGCAATATCAATTTTTGGAAGTTGTAAGAAAATGGAAGTTTAGATCCATACCATTTTAGTAGTTTTTGTATTCGAATATGTGACTAAATTTGGTAACATTGGATTCGCAGAAATTTGATATTGAAGGTAATAAATTTGTTATTTCTTTGATTAATTTAGTCACTGTAGTTATAGTAATAATCAATTATTGCGAATGATCTAGGTACGGCTACCATATAAGACAAGTCTGAGACGCTACTTGGACAGCTTGTTATTAGAGAATGTTTGGGAAAATCCACAACACGTTTTTCTTTGGAATTCTCTAAAATGACCTTGTAGTGGAGAAGTGAGTATGTTTGTAGATATTAGATAACTTCGCTTTCATTTAGATCCCAAGAACCTAGCTCTTAAACCCTCTCAAACTCTTGTTCTTTGCCCATGCATGTAATTAGTCCCACACGGGTCGGGCTTAGACCTTGGCAAAAAATGAATATATGTTACCATGCACATAGGATTGAGAAATTTCCACCCTTGATCATACCCGACATATATACACACATTTAACATATGTGAAGTATCGCATAACTACTAGATAAGTTAGAGTTTTTGGTGTCACGCTACATCCATCGAAAGCATTCTATAGTCAGTCGGCAACGCTTCATAAGATTTCTCATTAATACTTTTTTACCGGGATCGGTACAAAGTTTTTCAATGAGAGCTTAGCAATCGCATCAGCTTCTCCATTAAAGTCTCTAGAGATGAAAGAAAACCTAATTTTCTGAAAAGTAGAAGAGAAGATCATGATATCATGGAGATTCTCGTGGAGTTCTTTATGAGACTTGTAGTGGAGTATCGCATAACTACTAGATAAGTTAGAGTTTTTGGTGTCACGCTACATCCATCGAAAGCATTCTATAGTCAGTCGGCAACGCTTCGTAAGATTTCTCATAAATACTTTTTAACATGGATCGGCAGGGCCGTTCCTGAGATGGGCCAAATACAAAACAAAAAATGGGGGCCTATAATATAATTATATACTTAATATTTAGTATTATTATATAATTTATATATTAATTTAATTTATTTTAGTGTATAAAATGCATTAAAAATAAAGTTTTTTCAATTTTTTATAGAATCCAAATTAAAAAAAAAAATTGTTAATTTTCTTATAAACATATTTGCTTAAATATACTATATTTATTTGCATTTTATATAAAAACCAAAAAAAAAACATAAAATGGGAGCCCCACAAAATTGGGGGCCCCATACAATTGCTTCACTTTGCTCCCCTCAGGGCCGGCCTTGTGATCGGTACAAAGTTTTTCAACTAGAGCTTAGCAATCGCATCAGCTTCTCCGATCCATTAAAGTCTCTAGAGATGAAAGAAAACCTAATTTTCTGAAAAGTAGAAGATAAGATCAGGATATCATGGAGAATCTCATGAAATTCTTTATGAGGAATCTCCGAATTGATGGCTTCGGTTAAATGTGTTTCGCACAATCCGTGTTAAGTAACTTCGACAAAATCGACAACACATGTTCCTCATGTGGGCATGATTCGCCAGTTGATCTGAAATTTGATTTTCTTTCGATAAATATGAGCAATGGATACTATGTCGAAATTCTTGAAGAGCATTTCTTATGTGCTAATATTAAGAAAACCCATTTAATCTCTCCATTCAGGTCGTAACTAGATCAGCACAATCTAGAAAATAGCATAATAGATATTTGGCCAAACTGTATATTCTTGCGACCCTAAATATTATACATGGTATGTCATGGCTAAATATTACTACATGGTATGTCATGGCTAAATATTACTACATGGTATATTAGAAACTGAGAAAGACTAGTGGTGTTCTCCTTTAAATCTTTTTTTTTTTTTTGCTTTCTATGCTTTATTAGTTTATTTGATATCACTTTCTAATTTGATTTCACATTTTGTCTATAACATCAATCTTTAGCATATTTTTTTTTTGTCATCTGGAATTATATTGAAATTTTGGAGTAACCAAAAGATTACAACAGGCTACACTAAGTCAAAGACAAAGGAACTAGTTAGCCTAAACTACCACCATCTCCACAACCAACCTAGAGAGGTCTATACAAAAGAATGCTCTCACAGCAAATGGAAACACTTAAACCACAGCCAAGACTTTAACCACAAATGATCTCAAACTCTGAGCATCATACCAAGGAAACAAAAACTCACACAAAAACAGAAGACAAACCTTCCTCATCAAGAAAGGCACGGTTTAACCAATCTTTAGCATATTTTTTTGGCTTTCTTTTTCTTATTTATTAAACAAAATCTAAAGCCTCTTTCTGACAAAATGATTGTATTGTTAATATATATTCAAAGCAGTTAAACCGATATAATTATTTTCCAACAAGAAAAATTAATTAAAATTATTGATATTCGTACACTTTTATTTTGTCTATTCTTGTGGATTTGTGGATGTCTTATATTGAAAGTTTTAGTAATGAAAAAGGCAATGTTGCTTTTGTCTTTTTTCACCTAACCAAATAAAATAATACAAAGCATTGCATGTTGATAATTACGTCAACCTCAATTTCCTATACCTGCCTACTTATATGTATATGAGTATGAGTGTATGACCATTAGAGAAATATATATAAATTTAATTAAAGTGGTAAAATCTGATTATTGTTTAGAGATAATGAGGAGACATTGATAAAGAATAAAATAAATGACCAAATAGAAACTGGATCTTTTATTTTGTTTACATAAATTTATTTTTATTCTTTTCAAATTGGATCTCTATTAGAAACCCTTTTTTCTTAACAATAATTCGTAAACTTATTTTATCATTCGTTATCGATCTTGTTTGAAACTTTGAATACTAAAATGCTTTCATATTGTCCATGTGGAGGCATCCAATAAAGAATAAATCTTATGGAACTCAATATTAATTTAAATGTATTAAATGTGACGCTGACTGATTTGACTATATATTATGAGTTTTCGATTCAAAAAGATAAGGATGCGTTTGAGTATTTTTCTTTTACTTTAATTCTCTGAAATGCAAATGTTAAAACGGATTTTTTGGCACGAAATGTTTATATCCAATTGCATATTATTTATTATTTATGTAAACAATATTTTTCAACATTGGTTTATTTGAATCAATCTAATAAAATTGTTGAAATTTTTTTTTTTTTCCATTTTTTGTTATTTACAAAAATTGCTAAATTAGGTGCTGTTGTAGAGACTAGAAAGTTAGAGCATCTCCAATGGTGGAGAACCCTCCATGGGTTCTCTCCTATTGTTTAGTATAAATTATTGAAATTTGTAAGATGAGAGTTTGTCTAAAAAATGTAAAATTTTTGGTAGTCCAATGGTAGTGTCTCAAATGAGGTTCTTAGAAAAAAAAATAATATTTCATAAAATTTGAAAATAATTGCAATTCATAAAATTGTATGTGTTTTAGATATGGTTTTGTGGAGAAAACAAAAATATGATTTTGGTTTATGTGTTTTGATATGTTTCACAATCGGAATCGTAATTCATAAAAGACATATACAAAGTTTACAATTTGTTTCCTTTATCACAAATCTGCTTCACAATTACTTTCTTCTGTGACTAAACTTTACAAATTTGATCATAGCATATACAAAGTTTTCAGTCATCATTGTCTTCAGTTACCAAGTCCTCAATCATCAATATCTTCTCTCTTCTGCTTCCTTGTGAATCCCTGCAACCTTATTCTTCATCCTCTCTGCATACTCTGCTTTCTTCTTCTCTAGTCGCTCATGCATTAAAACCAAATCACAAACACTTTCCACGCTCTGACAAAAGACAATCTCTTCTCCTTTGACAAATCAGCTAGCTTAACATATCTATATAACAAACAAATGTAGCTCAGTTATTTCCACAAAATATTACAATCAGAATTTTTACCCATCTGCTCTCCCTCTAGTAATACACCACTCTTAACACATACAGAGCATACCCAATCCCACACAAGGCAATTAATTCTTTCAATGTCTCCAAGTTCAAAACACTACTATTCTCCTTAACCAAATCCCACAAACCATAAGCATCCATTCTTCGTGTATTTGATAAAGACAAACCATAGAATTAGTATTTGGAAATCTAAATCAAATTCATCCATACGGAGATCAAAGTCAATGCATAACCATAATAAATAAATCTAGCTTCTGTCAAATCTCACAAAGCATGATCATGAAGAAGATACCACATGAATCACTAGAGTTTCTATGACCTCAATTAAATCATTCTCTTGAAAACAAACAAAGGTGAATTTCAACAATTCGAAACTATCACACACAACACTAGAATTTCATAAGCTTTGTTCTTGATTCAAAGTTTTTAATTCATAAAAATAACATAAACAATGCTACAATTGCTAAAGATCAAACGAAAACGAGAGCAAGAATCAATTTCAATCATCAAAGCTCATTGATCGGTTTGATCCAACGATTTGAAAAAATAAACAGAATCTAACAACGATTGGTACAATGGATCTCTGAATCTCTGTCCTAAAGTCAGAGGAATTGCAAAACAGAGAGTCAAAATAACCAACGGATTCTGTTCGAGATAACCTGTAAATCAACGTGGGCTTGGTACAATGGATCTCT